CTTTTTCAATTCAGCAGAGATTGTACATAGCCAGAAGAAAGCATGCAACGTAGAAAGAAAATTACAAAGCCCACAGAATGACAGCCATTCTCCAGATTGTTACAGGGTTTGTTTCTCTGCTGGAAATCAATGATGTGGAATTTCAGGTGGTGTCTTGAGGCTCACTTTGTTGCTGGAACGAGGTTAGAGGTTTTTACCGCACATGGAACATGTGATGCCGTTTCCACGACAACTTTGTTGAAGCAGCCTAAGTATTATCCTAAAGCTTGAGTCTTCATCTAAAACCATGTAAAAAAGCATAAGCGTCATTCTTTATCATTCGTTCTATATGTTCACGATGGCCCCTGCCAGCAGATTTGTCTATACTTAAACACAACGAGGAGGGGAGTTTATCAAATTCTGTTACAGGCTGGGTGCACACCAGCTGCTTCGTCCATCTATTTTAATGAGTCTGAAATGTATTTAAAATGAAAGTAAAAATTTCCACACATGCTCTCTAGTGTTCATTCATCCGAATTGTTTATGCCTTAATCGATTATATTTGCGTCTCCAACACACAGTGGGGTGCCTTGCTCATAGTCAAGCTCTCAGGAAATGTGGGCTGCATGAAAAAAGGAAAATTTGCCTTCCATTTGTTCTTGTTGGAAGGACAGTAAATAGAGAAATAAACCCGGGATGCAAGGCACAGTCTGGAATTTTAATCAGTTTACGGTTACGTAGGAATAGACACCACTTAGCAGGAATATAGCATAGAAACACGTTTTAATTCACTGTAGAACACTGAAACCTAAGGAGAAGGGAAATGCTCCACCTCAGTTCTGGTCCAGGTGAGGGGCCGAAGTTGGCCTGGGCCTATGAGGCCAATCAGCTGGGGTGGACAGCTGGGATAGCCAATGGCCGACGGAGGCCTTAGTCTCCGCCCCGCTGCGTTGAGCACCTGCTCCCAGTCGGTTGCTGCAGCGATAGCAGGGCAGGGGCCCGGCGAGATCCAGGTGAGCATCCTGTGGCGGGGACCAAGCGTGATTGCACACGCACACTCGCCCTGGACGAGCGCTGGCACACTCGCCCTGGACGAGCGCTGTCGGATGAACGTCCGTTCTGGCCTGGGAAGGCGACTGGAACTTTCCAGGCTAACTCTGCGGTTCGCACCGGGGCACGGTGGTGGAAGTTGGGGGCGGGGTCGCCACATTGGGGTTCCTGGGACCGCTAACTGCTTCAGCCCCGGGGACCACAGCCCAAGCCAAAGGAAAGACTCCCGACGCGGACCTTTGCAGGTTGGCGGTAGAGCGAGCTCCAGGCGCGTCCCAGGCGGTTTTCCCCAGGTCGGTGATACCTGGAAACGGTTTCCATGGCCGGGGATGCCAATTCCCGTTTCTGACTGCAGAGGGCGCCCCGCCGCCTCGGTGGGAGAAGCCGGGTTTTCCCCGTTACTAGGGTTACCACGAAACGCTGCATTTTGCACAGGAGATGATACTTCACGCTGATTAGTAAATATGGGAAGCGGGCTCAGAGCAGGATAATGGAGAATAAATCAAATCCAGCCAAGACCAAGCTTTAGACACAAAGACTGCAAAGTATGGGCAAATTCTCTAGAGAACACATAAACCACCCTCTGGAAGTTGAGAATTAACATTGAGTAATGTACATATTGAGGCAGGGTCTCGTGGAGCTCACTCTGGCTATGCTAGTTATGTAGCCAAGGATGATCTTGAACTCACGCCCCTCCTAAATGCTGGCATTATGCCACGCCCCGCTAACATGCTTTTTTTTTTTTCTCCCCCTTTTGGTTTTTCAAGACAGGGTTTCTCAGTGCAACAGTCCTAGCTGTCCTGTAACTTGCTTTGTAGACCTGGCTGGACTCGAACTCACAGAGATACGCCTGTCTCTGCCTCCTAAATGCTAGGATTAAAGGTATGTACCACGACGGCCTGGCAAAAGGTAATCTTCAAACAATGTATATTAGAGAGGGGTGAAGAAGCAAGATGGCTTCAGAAAGTTTTCAGAGATTTTGGAATAGTGTTCAGAATGAAAATTTATTTGTTAGGTAAGCGATGTCTCTATCATGTTTTTCTATGTGTCTTGTTCCAATCAAAATTTCAATGATTATAGGATCACTCCAGGTAATGTGTTTTAATCCTATTAGATGCACAGTTCTCTCCCACAAAAGGCTTTTCCAGTTCTTTTGAAAATTTCTCCCAAGAAAACATTCTATTTTGCATCAGTAAAAGTTCTTCATGCTGTGCTGGAGAATTAGCTCACTGGTTAGGACCACATGCTGTGCTTCCAGAGGACCTGGGTTCAATTCCCAACACCCATGTCTGGCAGTGCCTGTAACTCTAGCTACCAGGGATCCAATGCTTTCTTCTGGCCTTAGTGGCACACACACACACACACACACACACACACACACACACACACACACACACACCACATGTAAAATTCTTCAAGTTTCCCCCCATTCCTTTCAAATCTTCAGATAATCCATGTGATGGAATGAATTCTTAATTTTCAGCCTGTGGTGTGAAAGCCATAGTCTAATTAATTCCTTGGCTGGCTCCTGTTCCAAAGCTGAAGAACTGTTATCTGTATCCATAACCAAGCCAAAGCCAGCAGAGGGCAGTAACGAGGAAACAAATGTTTCTGTGAATTAAACCTCTGCTACATTGTGTTTTTACAATGACCAATACTAGGTTTAAATACAGTGACTTGACAAAGAAACTTTGGCAGTGATGCCCAGCACCCTAAGAAATGTATTTCACTTTGCAAACATGCATTTATATATGTAGACATGAAATAGAGAAATAAATCTATTAAACTAATGTTACATGGTAGATAGGTTTTCTTTTTATTCTTTTTTAAGTGGGGGGAATTAAAATGGTTAAATGAGGCCCCATGCTTTGCTAGGCAAGTGGTGTAGCACTAAGCTGCATTCTCTCTCTCTCTCTCTCTCTCTCTCTGCCTGTCTGTCTCCAGTTTTCTAACTACTAGGAGGCTTTTCTGAAGAATACCTAAATAAATCACAATATGCTTCATCCAAATGTCTGATGGTTCAGGTGTCCTTCGGGGTTGATGGAGTCCAGCATGTGATGTGTCTTCCATCTTAACTCAGCCTCTGCTGGAGGAACTGAGTACAGACAACCCAGGCAGCACAGGAAAACAAGCAAGAATATGAGGAAATCGTTCCAGCCACTGTTGAACAAAGCTGGAATGATTCATAACAGACAAATGATCAGTTCATCGTTTTCATTGTTGTCATGTACAATTTACCTCCCAGCAGAAAAGCTTACATTAAAAAAAAAAAAAAAAAAAAAAAAGATTGATTTACTATGTATACAGTGTTCTGCATGCATGTATAACTACATGCCAGAAGAGGGCACCAGATCTCATTATGGATGGTTGTTAACCACCGTGTGGTTGCTGGGAATTGAACTCAGGACCTCTGAAAGAGCTGCCAGAGCTCTTAACATTTGTGCAATTGATCCAGCCCAAAAACTAGCATTTTTAATTTCCACAGGTTTAAGGATTCTACACAGAAAAAAAAAACTAAATAAGCAAAACAAAAACTTCAGCAGGACTTAAAAGAAGTTTGTGGGTCTTGATTAATGGCTTTTTATCGAATGGTGTGAACTAGACTAGAGCCATAGAAATTTGTAATAGGTACTGTTTGTGTTGGTTAGGTTTTGTTTTTTGTATTGTTTTTGTTTTTGTTTGTTCTTTTTTAACTTGATGCAAACTGTGCAAGCTGAGGTCATCTAGGAAGAGATAATTGAAATTAAGGAATTGCCTTCGTTAGGTTGGCAGGTCTTTGGGTATATTCTTGTTACTGATTGATGTTGGAGGGCCTGACCCACCGGGGTAGTCCTGGGAGGTATCAGAAAGGTGGCTGGACTGCAGCCTCGGGGACAAGCCCAGGAGCAGCATCCTGCATGGCCTCTGCTCCAGTTCCTGTCCCCAGATTCCTTCATGGGTTCTTGTTGTGACTTCCTTCAGTGATGGACCTGTGAGCTGTAAGATGAACTAACTAAATGCTGTCCTTCCTAAGTTGCTTTTTGATGGTGTTTGTCACAGAGACAGAAAGCTAGCTAGTTTTGGACTTTGTTTTGCCTGCCCCCCTCCAGATCTATGTTAGTGTGATGTATTTATGAGAAACATTTTGTAAATTTCAAAGGTTTTCAAATAGTGAGTGCCATTCATTTATTTATTTTTGAGACAGGGTCTCACTGTGTAACCTTGGCTGGCCTAGAGTGCTCTATGAAGACCAAGCTGGCCTAGAACTCACAGAGCTCCACCTGCTCCAAGTGCTGGGATCAAAGGCAGGCATCACCACACCTGGCCCTGCCTTTTATTTATTTATTTATTTAGTATTTTTTAGATTTTTAAGTTTGAAAACAGCACTGAAAAGGTTCTTAAAAATAAACTATTTTATGAATGGAGGTGTTTTGACTGCTTGTACATCTGTGCATTACATATATCTTGTGTCCAAAGAGACCATAGGAGAGCTGCAGATCACCTAAAGGAGTTGCTGTGGGCCTGGTGTGGATGCTGGGAATCAAACCCAGGCCCTCTGCTCTTAGCCACTGAGCCAGCTTTCCAGCCCCACACTTAGGGTTCTAAAAGATATACAGCTGTTAAAACACACAACTTCATTGCAGGAGGCTTTGTCCCTTGTCTGTTAAGAGGGCTCTTAGCTTTCTGTTGTGACACCTTCATTTCATGTCAGAGGTACATAGTTCTCTTTCAATTTGATTTTTTAATAAAGCATAGTTTATGCACCAAAACCCATTCTGCCATTCCCTGCCTACGGTAAAGACTAAGACGGCATGTCTGAGGAATGGTTGGACTCAGTTAATGTTAACAGGTTTAAAACAGCCTTCCTCTTGGGGGAAAAGCAATCACTCCATCCCTTTGCCTCTAGGAGCATTCAGGCATCCCTGCTTCCCAAACTGAGCTAAATTATAATATCCATTGGGTCACATCTATTTTCTTATACTATGTTTCAGTCATGACTGCTAAGGATTGTCCATCATTGTGGAGCTTTGGAACAACAAAGACATTTAAAATTCCTGTTGAGCATTTGGATTTCAAGTATATTGAAAAATGTTCAGATGTGAAACACCTGGAAAAAATTCTTTGCGTGCTGAGGTAAGCATTTAAAAACGTAACTTCATGCTTCAGCATGCCAGTTTTAATCATGTCACTGCCCTCTACTTTGAAGTGTTAGAGAATTTCCAAATATTGAGGCTAGAACGTGGGTTCCATATTGGCTTTGTACTGTGGTTCTGGAGGACTCTGGCCCCTGTATTTCCCACATGGGACATAGGCTGATTTGGATCCAAGGGGGTCCTCCTCTTCTTGGCTCTGCCTTGTCCAAGAAGAGGTAAAGCAGCTGTAAATGCAGTTGCCGGAGAAGGAAGCTACCAGAGCTCCATGGTGATGCTGTCAAACTGTGTGCATGCATCCCAGGCGTGTGTGTGTGGTTGTTAAAAATGCAGGTTTAAGGGCCTCATGCCCAGCCACTGTACTTCAGAAAGCCTGAGGAGGAAAACATGTTGTAAATGCAACGGATGGTTAGGTGGGGGTCTCAATCTATGTCAAGAGCCACTGCCCTATGGACTGCCAACCAAACCCAGTTTGGGTTTCCTTCGAGGTTTGATTTGGTGAACACTTGCAGATCATGATAGCTGTGATGCCTGACTCTTCACTAGTCCTTAGTTTTATTTTTCTGGCCCTCTTCAAATAATACATTTATTTATTTATTTTTTATTTTGTATGTACGTCTGCATATATGTACGTGCACCACATGTATGCCAACAACACTCAAGGAGGCCAGAGAGGCCAGATATAACTGCACTTAGCTTTCAAGGGAAGGAATTCTGTTTCGAATGGCTCACTTTAGGGGTGTTTTGTCTAAGCTGTTTCTCTGCTACTTTCTCATACATTAAAAAAAAAAAAAAAGTGAAAAGGGCTAGGGACGTTTTAGAATAATTGCCTAGTATTCATGGAGCCCTGGTTTGACTCATATCAGTGGAATTTGGTGTCAAATGCTTGCAATTCCAGCACTAGGAATGTGAGCCCAGAAGGATTCATGGTCGTCCTCAACCACACATGGAGTTTTAGGATAGATATATGGAATTATATATCAGCATTCTCTATATGAGACTCTGACTGGAACTGAGATTAAAAAAAAAAAAACAGAAACTCCCTGAAAAGGAAGTTTATATTATCTTTCAGCTTGTCTTTAATATTGAATTTCGGATATGTTTTCAAAGTGCCTTGTGCATAAAATGAACGTGTATGTTAGGTAATATTTGACTTAAAGTTTATTATTTTATGCATATGGATGTTGTGCCTACATGTATGCCTGTGCACATACAGTAGCCATGGAGGTCAGGAGGGTGGCGGGTGTCAGGTAATCTGGGACTGGAGTGACAAAAGTTGTGAGCTGCTGTGTGAAAATAAAACTCTTCCTCTGGGAGAGCAGCCGGAGCTCTTAACTGACGAGCTGTCTCTCCAGCCCCTGTACCAACCCTTGATGCATGTGGTGCACTCTGTTTCCTCGGAACCCTCACCCCCTGTGTCACCCCCTGTGTATGCCCGAGATTCGCTGACACGAATGGCCAATGCTGCACTCCAACCTTGCACAGCCCTTGAGATCAAAGAACCCAGGGGTCCTAGGGAATCCAGCTTGCAAACCGCCTAGCCTATCTCGAGGACCTCTAAATAACGTGCTAATCTAAAATTATAACCGCTCTTTAAGATCCGGTGAAGAAGGCTATTATCCTGAACTCACAGAGTTTTGTGAAAAGCGCCTCACGGGCTTGGCTCCTGAAAGTCGAGCTCTGAGGAAAGATAAGCCTGCAGCCACAGCGTCCAGCTTTACAGCGGAGGAATGGGAAAGAATCGACAGTGACATAAAGGTAGAGTGAGTGTGTATCACATGAAATCCTGGACTCTCTGCTTGTCAGGAAATGGCTTTTAGTGGTGGCCTCTTTTTTGTTTTGTTTTGTTTTTGTTTTGTTTTTCAAGACAGGGTTTCTCTGTGTCTTGGCTGTCCTGGCACTCACTCTGTCTGTAGACCAGGCTGGCCTCAAACTCACATAGATCCACCTGCTTCTGTCTCCCGAGTGCCGAAATTAAAGGCATGTGCCATCACTGCCTGGCTAGTGGTGGCCTCTTAATTCTAGATAAATATTGTAAGTTTGTGTGTGGGAACGAATTCTAAATTTCTATATCATGTTCATCCCCCAAAAGGTAAAATTAAATATAAAATAAATAAAAGATAAAATAAGAAAGGTAGGCAAAAACAACATGAAAATTCTTTAATAATTTTATTTCATCCATCCATCTATATATATATTTGTGTGTGCACATGTACCACATGTGCGGAGGCCAGAAGACAACTTGAAGGAATCAGTTTTTTCCTTCCATGGTGTCTTAGTTAGGGTTTCCATTGCTGTGAAGAGACACCATGACCATGGCAACTTTTATGAAGGAAACATTTAATTGAGGGTGGCTCACTTAGTTTCAGAGGTTCAGTCCATTGTCATCATGACAGGGAGCGTGGCGGCATGCGGACAGACGTGGTGCTGGGGCTGAGAATCCTACATCTTTCAGGGAAACAGGAAGTCAACTGACTCACCGGGCGGTATCCTAGCATAGGAAACCTCAAAGCTGCCCCCACAGTGACACACTTCCTCTAACAAGGCCACGCCCACTCTAGCAAAGCCACACCTCCTGATAGTGCCACCCCTTATGAGACTATTGGGGGCAATTATATCAGACTGCCACACCACATGCCCTGAAGTTGAAGCAAGCACCCATAACTGCTGAGCCATCTCATACCCGCCCCCAAATAGTCTTAATGAGACTTAGCTACACACTACAATAATAATAATAATAATAATAATAATAATGTAAATTTTGTGTTATGGGTATTTATAACAAGAAGAAAAAGAACCTTCCAGAGAGAATGCCATGGGAAGTGGACTGAGAGAACTCTTTGCAGCCCTACCGAATGCATGGTCAGTGGCTTCAAACTCTACAGTTGCCCTGTGCTCCATCCTTTCCAGAGTTGGGTATCAGAAATCAAAAGAGAGGAAAATACACGACACTTCCATGACCCCGAAACACACCGAGGAGTGGAAGATCATCTGCCTCCAGTTCGTGGCTCAGACAGCAGCCCTCACTGTGGCAAGGTAGGCCTTTCTGGTATGGGGCTGTGTGGGGAGCAGTGTTGACAGGGGCAGGGAGGTGGCTGTGGCTTACAGGGATATCTGTTTCTCTGTCTAATCAGTGTAAACCACTGTGCTGTAGGTGTGTAGGGCTTCCCTCTCCTGGTACACTGTGCTGTAGGTGTGTAGGGTTTCTCTCTCTTTTGGATACTTGGTTGCTCCTTTTCTCCTTTCTTTTCCTCTTACTCCTTCCCTCCCCGTCTTTCTTTCTTCCTTTTTCTTTTTTCTTGTTGTGGTACTAGGGTTTACTTGGGCCCCCACACTGAGCTATAGCTCTATACCTCTTTTACTTTTTATTTTGAGACTGTCTCCCTCAGTGTTCTAGGCTGTCCTTGAACTTGTGGCCCTCCTTCCTTACCTTCCCAAATAGCCCAGCTGCCCTCTTCTGTAAGCCAGATCTGATCATTCAGTGATGGAAATGGAGCTGCCTTGTCTAAAGGCTTGCACTTTGGGGTCAACATCGTTCGTCTTTCCCCTTTGCTATTCTGCCTCTTCTATTCCGGCCAATTTTTCAGAGCATAAAAGATGTGGCCCGGTGTTTGGGGCTTTCAGGGAACTATCCTGCCTGTCTGGTAGAGGTGTGGAGGCTATGTCACTGAATAAGTCAGCTGACTGCAGATGTGGGCTGGCTCACAGACGGTTTAAGCACAGAGACGACCCTCTGCTCCTTAGCGTATGTGTTTCTCTGGTTTTCATTCTTTTGTAGCTGGTCAGTATTTGGTCTTGCAAATCACCCCCCTTTAACTCAAGGCTCTCACAAAGAAAGGGCCTGTTGGACTTCCAGGGGCCTCTGGTCCACCTAAAGTCAAATCGCAGCGTTTTTGGCACCTGATCACCTTGCTATTTCCAGCGTTTCCATTCTGTATTCTTGTCAGTCTTATATTTTTCTTGTTGTTAACCTACATTTATTTATTATTTTACTTGTTGAATAGGGTCTTCCTATGTAGCCCTGACTGACCTAGAACTTATATGTTGACCAGACTGTCCTCAAATTCACAGTAATCCACCTGCCTCTGCCTCCCAAGTACTGGGACTAAAGGTGTGTACCATCATGCCTGGCTATTTATCTTTTATTTTGTGTATACACACAGAGAGACATAGTCACACAGATGGACACTCACACACACACACACACACTCGAGGGCATGCTTATGCCATAGTATGTGTGTGCAGGTCAGATCTGGGAGAATGGGTCCTTTCCTTCCATCCTGTGGATTCGCGAGACAGATCTCAGATCTTTTAGGCAGCAAGCACATTTACCCACTGAGACATCTAACTGGCCCCTTATTTTTTTTTCTAGAATCTTCAGTTTTATTTCCAAATCACTTTCTGTCACTCTGCTCTCTGATAATTTACCTTCCTGGACCTCTTTTCACATTCCCCGGGAAGCACTGTACACGGTGTGGTTTGTTCAGGGGGACAAAGTACTGGCCCGTCTAGTGGCCAGTTGTGTTTTCCTCCCTGTTTACCCCGGTACAGCACCTGCCCTGCTTCTCCGCCATCAGCAGTAGGTCTGCGACCTCGTTTGCTCTCAGTTTCTCTAAGGCTGGAAGAGAGGAGGGCCGATCTGTTGTTCTCTCTGGAGGCCTTGGTGGTTGTACAGGGAGAAAGCCGGTCACCATCAGTGAGACGAACTCAGCAGGCAGGGAGTGCAGTCTGGGGCTGGAGCAAAGGCTAGAGAACAGGCAGGGGAAGGAAGGCCTTCAGCAAGCACCAATCTTCTCGTTCTGTTTGGCTATGACCTGTCTGGTTTTGTTCATTTGTTTGTTTGTTTGGTTGTTTGTTTGGTGGTTTTTGTTTTGTGGAACTATTCCAAATTGGGTGTCTATCATGACAAACCAAAGAGCTGTGACTAAACACCTCTCTCTGAAAGAATGAATGAATTCAGTGCTACTTTCATTTTAAGAAAACCATTAAGGTTCACACTCTTGAAATATGTATTGTCCTTAAAATTTTGTGAGACTGTCCTCACAATTAACCACTGATTAATTTGAAATCTTGTCTTTTACCTCAGTATTTTATAATATCATGATACTGGAGTTGTTTTAACCTCAGGGGGAATATATAAATATAAATCTATATACATGTGTATATTCCTTCCATTTATGTATCTTACTCCCATGATTCATAGTGCATTTATAATAAGGTCCTGGTGATCTTTGACTATATGTCACAAAGTATGATTTTATTCTTTCAGGAAAGCTATTCTAAAAGCAAGCCAGCTAAGAAGAAAATCCCAAGGGATTATTCGGAGTGGGATAAGTATGCTTCATATTTCTTCACTTAAAATTGTGTCTGAAAAATTGTCTATCCTTAGAGTCTATAATTAAAAATATGATAAACCTGAGAAATCAAGTATCTAAAGTTACTCTGGTAAAGTCACCACTTTACCAGACACTTCCTGTCCCCTTTCTTTTGAGATGGGGTCTCACTGTGTGACCTAGGCTAGCCTCAAACTCAGAAGCCTGCCCCCCCACCCCGGTCTCAGTCTCCCAGTTGCAATAATTACAAGCATTCACTACTACATCTGGCTCATCTAAGCACTTTTAATTTCATTTTTAATTAATAATACCCTTTTTATATCCGTTTGTATATAAAACCAGCCACAAAACAGGTTGGATTTAAGTTTGGTGTAGGTTTTGATTTATTTTTTCTTTTCTTTCTTCTTTCTTTCTTTTTTTTTTTTTTTTTTTTTTTTTTTTTTTTGAGACAGGGCTTCTCTGTGTAGCCCTGGCTGTCCTGGAACTTGCTGTATACACCACGCTGTCCTGGGACTCACAGACAACCACCTGCCTCTGCCTCTGCCTCCCAGTGCTGGGATTATGAGGAGGTGCCACCATGTCAGGCAATTGCTTATCTTAAGAAGAAATACAGATGACTCAAGGAACAAACCTATGAGGAATGTTTTGCCTATGAGTAGGGACACAGTACAGGTTGAACATTGGTAATACAAAAATCCAAAGTCCAAATCCTGAATCTGAAATGAAACAGTGTGTAAATTACATGTATGTGAAACAGGCATGAATATCGTGTTTTAACTTGTGACTTCCCTACAGATCTCATTTGGTAAATGCAAATATTTGCCAGCAATAGAAGAAAAAATTTCAACCAGGCAATGTTGGTGTGGTGCATGCCTTTAACCACAGCACTCAGGAGGCAGAGGCAGGAGGATCTCTGTAAGTTCAAGGCCAGTTTGATCTACAGAGTGAGATCCTGTCTTGGAAAAATTAAAAACAAACAAACAAACAAAAAACCCCACAAACAAACAGAAGAACAAAGCCAAACCACCAACTCTCAACTCCATCAGAGTCTCCCCATGCATTTATCTTCAGATACAGTAATGAGTTTTGTTTCTTACTTGCAATATGCTGTTCATTTTTCCCATTTTTTCTTGTTTTTTCAGATTTGATGTGGAAAAAGAATGTTCAAAAATTGATGAAGATTACAAAGAAAAGACTATAGTAAACAACAAGGCTCATTTGTCTAAAATTGAGAAAAAAATAGACACAGCAGGTAAGAAGAAAAATTGGGAATCATTAGTCATTTTCTGACCTTTGAATTACAATAAAAACTTGTCAGCCTAAGAAACATTGTCTTTGAGCACTGTTGGTTTCCATTAAAGTTTGGAGATTTTTTTGGTCAGGGTTGACCACTCCCAACAAATTTATTTCTGCCTTTAATTACTCAATTTTGTTTGAGAAAGGGTCTCATGTAGCCCAGGTTGGCCTTGAACTCCACATGTAGCTAATGATGACCTTGGCCTTCTGATCCTCCTGCCTCCATTATCCAAGTGCTGGGATACAGGTGTGTACCACTGTGTGTGGGCCCCATTTTTCTTTTATATTCTTTTGGTTTCCATTTCCTATTTTCAATCCTCTTCCTTTAAAATTTCTCATTTTTTTTCCCATATCAAACAAAAGAAATGGGGCATTTTTCATCTGAGGCTCATACATCACCTTTAAAGCAAAATCAATCATAAGAAAAGTAACCCCTAAAAAGCTGGGGGTGATTAGAAAAGAAGAAATATCCCGGCACCCAGGAAGCCTTTTATTTTGTTTTCTTTAATCTATGGCTTTCTGCTTCTCTTAAGTATTCTTGGGGTATGGGAGCGTAGCTCATGACAGAGTGCTTGTTGGACCTGAGGCCCCAGGTTCTACCTCCAGGACTGCTGGAAACAAAATCATGCAAGCCTTTAAGCTTTTAGAGAAACTGTCTATTTCCAGGTTTAACCGAGAAGGAAAAGAGCTTTCTTGCCGATCGTGAAAAGAGTAAAGGAAATGAGGCTTTCTATGCAGGGGATTATGAAGAGGCCGTGATGTATTACACCAGGCAAGTCAGTTTTCACCTCACTGTGTCTTCATTTGGCTATCTTAGGGGCTGGGGCGATGGCTCATTGGCTAAGAGGACTTATTCCTCTTCCAGAGGACCTGGGTTTAATTCCTTGCATCCACATGGTGGCTAACAACCTGTTGTGACTCCAGTTCCAGGGGATCGCACATGTAATGAGATGTTTTACTCTTTTGGCTCTTTGAGGAACCCACCACCCAGCTCCCAAATAAATCACACAGAGTTCTATTATGAGTGTTCATCCTTAGCTTGGCTTGTTTCTTGCCAGCTTTTCTTAAATTAACCTGTCCACCTTTTCCCTCTGGGCTTTTATCTTTCTTACTTCTGTGTACTGTACTGTCCTTCTTACCAGATAGCTGGGTGGACCCTGAAGTCCTTTTCCTCATTTCTCCTGTTTATCCTCTCTGCCTGCCGACCCCGCTTATTTCTCTCTCCTGCCTCCCTATTGGCCGCTCCCCTCTTTACTAGACCATCAGGTGTTTTAGACAGGCACCGTAACACAGCTTCACAGAGTTAAACAAATGCAGCGTAAACAAAAGTCACACACCTTAAATTAATATTCCCCCACATTTCCCACTTTTTTCTAAACAAAATACAGTTTTAACTTTAACGTGGGAAGACTGTAATAAGAACAATCATGAAATACCCCATAATCTATTCTATCTTAGTAAATCCAAAATTTTAAACCTAGCATATCTAAGAAATACTGCAACTATAACTATCTGGTCTTCAACTCCATCAAAGGCACCAGAATGATATAAAATTATTTAAATAAACAAAAGGTGCATGGCAAACAAGTTCCAAAAACTCTAGAAATGACAGAGACATCTGGCTGCCTGGACAGACACACATGTGGTCATAGACATACATGCAGCCAAAACAACCATACATGTAAAACTAAAGTGATGTTTTAATTGTTGAAACCACATAAATAAACTGAATAGCCTATGTTGGAATCACTTGAGGAACTGCATGACACCATGATTTTACTTACACACACAACCCAAAAGATCTCTTTCCTGGATGTTTCCCTCCCTACCCCTCATGATGTTTTAGGACTTACCCCATGCTTTGACTTTTTTTTTTTTTTTTTTTTTTTTTTCGAGACAGGGTTTCTCTGTATTGTTTCTAGCCTGTCCTGGAACTCACTCTGTAGACCAGGCTGGCCTCAAACTCACAGAGATCTGCCTGCCTCTACCTCCCGAGTACTGGGACTAAAGGCATGCACCACCAACGCCCAGCTATGCTTTGACTTCTTTAGAGGAGTCTTCCCTGACTTTCCAGCCAAATTAGGTGCCTACTCCATAACACAGCATGCTGTCCCCTGGTTAGCCAGCTCTGGTAGCTCTTCCCAAAGGTACAGTTCCAATTGGTGTGGTCTGATACGGAAGGCACCATAAGCTCCCAGGGCAGAGCCCATTGTGTCCTCGTTGCCCAGTGAAGGGTTTGGCTCCTAGCAGGTTTTCAGTAGAGACTCGTAGAAAGAACGTCTGTGGATGGTTCATTCAGCCCAGCCACCCACATTCAGTCAGGCGTACATCAGCCCTGCCACTCATCCTCATCCTCCCTCCCCTCCTCCGCCCCACTCCTTTTTCTGATAGTCTTATGAGCCCAGGTTGGCCTTGAGCTCCTCCTCCTGCTCCCATGTTTCAGGGATTACAGGCGCCCACCATCTCACCGAGCTGTCCGCTTTCTTGCTGTGGATTTTGTCTAGCGGAGACTCTCCTGTCCGTTACTGGCTGTGACATTTTCCTTCTTTGTTGCGGGGTCCGATAGTTGAAGAATTTAAGCAGAGTGGTCTGATGGGTCAGAGAACTGAGGTCCGCTGCCTTGTAGCCCAGGGCAGATAGATGCCTTACCTCTCTTGTCCTAATGTCCTCGGGGTAATAAAGCTCTAAGCCTGCCGCCTCGGGCGCCGTGAGGGCTAAGTGGTTACTGGAGACAAGACAGCAAGCCGACTCTCTCACACGAGCCTTGTCTGTTATTTATCAGCAGGAGCCTTGTCTGTTATTTATCAGCTGCTGCTATCGGCACACCTTAGATTTTTCCAGTGCACATATTTTCTCATCTTCCAATGGGCAGAGCAGTAATACTCCCCTGCAAAGTAGCCCCAAGGTCATGAAGATGACATGAGTTATGGTACTCAGTGCCTGCCTGCAGTAGGTGTGCTTGCTAGTGTTATGTCAACTTACATAGCTAGTGTCATCTAAGAGGAGGGGGCTGTATTTTGGTAATTTCAGTGATATAAGTTATATAATTTAGCTAGGACTGCCATCCCCAAATAACACAGACCTAGTGGCCTGAACAAGATGTTTACCTAACACTTCTGAAGGCTGGAAGCCCAAACTCAAGGTGAAGGTAGGATTGGTTTCTTCAGAGTCCTCTGTCCTAGGCTGGCAGGTATCTGTCTTTTTCCTATCTGCTCACATGGTGTGCCTGTTACTCTATCTGGTTCTAATCTCTTCTTTTTATATATAAGGGTATCAGTTTTGTTTAGGCTAGAGTCCACACTAAGGGCCTCATATTAACTTAATTATCTTTTGTTTTGTTTTTCAAGAGAGGGTTTCCCTGTGTAGCTTTGGAGCCTGTCCTGGAACTTGCTCTTGTAGACCAGACTGGTCTTGAACTCACAGAGATTCACCTGCCTCTGCCTCCCAAGTGCTGGAATTAAAGGCATGTGCTACCACTGCCTGGCTAACTTAATTACCTTAAAATTTTTTTTTGAGGGTAGTGGTGGTAATGGGTAGTATTATTTGTAACCTTGACAGAATCTGGGGGCTGGGTTCCTGGACCTGCCTGCGGGGATCATTATGTTGATCGGGTTGAGTTGGAACAACCCACAGACTGTGGGCAGTGTCATTCCCTGCCAAGGATCCTGCACTGTACAGATGGAGAAAGGGTGCTTCGAAGCAATACGCATTCATCTCCCTCTCTGCTACCTGCCTGTGCACATGGTGATTTTCCCACCACGATGGGCTGTGTTTGAACTGTGAGCCAAACATGCCATTCTGTGTTACGTTGTTTTGTTGTTGTGTTTCATCTCAGTGACAGGAAAAGAAACTAAGGCAGTGGTGCTGGAGACTGGACCAAGGCCAGCACTCGGAACCGTATCCTTGGCCTAATCATCTCTCTAAAGCCTACATCCAAATAAACGCATATCCTGAGACATCCTGGGCTTGGGATTTTAACGTATAAACTTTTAAGGGACACAGTTCAGTCTTTAGACAGTCTCCCCTTATTTTATGTACAATTTGTACCAGTTACTTTTGCATAGCTGTGACCCAAATATCCGGGGACTGCAGCTTCAAGAAGGGAAAGCTGGATTGGCTGGTTCTGAGGGCTGACCCGATGGTTGGATTGGCTGGTTCTGAGAGCTGACCCAATGGTCAGAATGGCTGGTTCTGAGAGCTGACCCGATGGTTGGATTGGCTGGTTCTGAGGGCTGACCCGATGGTTGGATTGGCTGGTTCTGAGGGCTGACCCGATGGTCGGATTGGCTGGTTCTGAGGGCTGACCCAATGGTCAGATTGGCTGGTTCTGAGAGCTGACCCGATGGTTGGATTGGCTGGTTCTGAGAGCTGACCCGATGGTTGGATTGGCTGGTTCTGAGGGCTGACCCGATGGTTGGATTGGCTGGTTCTGAGGGCTGACCCAATGGTCAGATTGGCTGGTTCTGAGAGCTGACCCGATGGTCGGATTGGCTGGTTCTGAGGGCGGAACCGATGGTTGGTGGATTGGCTGGTTCTGTTACCTTGGCTCTGAAGTGGTGAGAATAAGCTATTTACTTCACGGTGGATTTGATGGTGGAACATGGGAAGGGGACAGAGATGGGGACATCCACGCACTGGGGGCAAGGCGAGAGAAGCCCGAGGACCCGGTCCCAGTAATCTGCTTTTTTCAGCTAGGCCTGGCCTCCTGATGTTCCAGAGCCCCTCGGCAGTTGTGCCAGAGGCTGTAGGGACATTTCCTGTTCGAACCACAGCATGGCTTTAGCGGAGTCTGTCTGCGGCCTTCCTATACCCTATACCTATACCCAATCTGTTTCTCCTGTAGGAGCTTATCAGCCCTTCCCACCACATCTGCCTACAACAATCGAGCACAAGCGGAAATCAAATTACATCGATGGAGTGGTGCTCTCCTAGACTGTGAGAAGGCCTTGGAGCTAGAGCCTGGAAACATAAAAGGTAACTAGACAGAGAGAATCCTGTCTCATCATTCAAGTAGTCTCAGATTTTCTATGTGTGAACCACCACCTCAGGAACATCACTTTTAATAAATCTGGCTTGGAATTTAAGCCCTCAATTCTTTGAATTGTGGTAGGCAGTCAAGAACATCAGAGGAAGCTCTGTGGGGGATTATGGGAAATCTATGATAGCTAGCTTACAACTCCCTGACAACTCAGGTCATTCTAAAATTAAAAACCACAAAAATAATTCTTCTATCATGACTATGTCTTTGTGGGAATTTAGTTTAGAGACCCGAACAATGGCAATAAACAATAATGAAGTTTGGTTACATGCTTTATCTTTTCGGTTTTCATGGCTCACTCTAAGGCTAAAACTAAGTTATAGAATGAGGAAACTTTGCTTAATGTCTAATTGTGTGTTAGGATAGCACATTAAAAGACATCTAATGCACCATTTCTCACATTTCAGATTATAAAGCCTGTTTACCCCCCCCCCCCCCAGATACTGTTTGACTGTGCGAAGTTCTCTCATATAATGAACCAAAGGGCTGGAAGGGTACATTGTTAATATTAGATGATTATACATTTATAAATTGAAACTACAAAAAACAAACCCTGGCACAGATTACAGTTCTACGTGCTAACTTAACTCTTGGATTATTTTATTTTATTTTATTGACAGGCTAGCCCAAACTCTCAATTCTCCTGCTTCACCACCCTGAATGCTGGGATGTAGGCCTTTGCCACAACCACTACACCAAGCTCTGATCATTTTATAAATAGCTACGTACAACTGGGTGAAGTTCAAGACCAGCCTATGGTGTGAGACCCTGTCTCAAAAAAGTAAACCAAATCAAGTCGAACTAAAACAACCTTCCCCACTGCCACCCACCTACCCACCCAAAGAAGCAAACAAACAAAAACCCCGGCTCAATTGGGTTCACCAATGTGCTTTAGCTCCCCTTTGCCGATCGGTGTCTATTAAATTTCTAAAAGGAATCTTCTAAATCCCCAGAAAACGGTGAACTGAAAGCAGGGATGATTAAGGGAGCCAGGTGTTACTGTTCGGTGCTGCCAAATGGCATGCAGCTGGTGGGGCTGGCGCTGCAAGAGGGCCGGGTTATTAATGGGGACGAGAGCTGCAGAGGGGGTCTGTTTTCTTCAGACACAGCCCCTGAGAGGTGACCTGTACGAGCTACTTTTATTCGCTATGATAAAACACCATGACCAAGGCAACTTAAGAAAGAGTTTTTGGGGTTCGTAGTTTCAGAGGGAAAAGAGTCCGGCACGGTAAGGGAGGCGTGGCAGAAGGAGCAGACAACTGAGCTGTCTTTAACTGCTAGCACTAGAGAGAGCCTGGAAATCGGATGAGCTTTTACTCACACACCCTGCTGGCTCCTGGGGTCACACTTCCTCCTAAACACCCCTTCCCCCAAATAGCCCCACCAACTGGAACCAAGTGTTCAAATACAGATGCCCTTGAGGGACATTTCTCATTCAAATAAATCTCCACACAGTTCATGTTTCAGGAGACAGCCCTAAACACACACACATCCAGACAGTACTGCGTGGACTCAGGATTTTGTTTGTTTTAAGAAAAGAGCTCATGAAATTGGAAGTGAAAAGTTGGGGCGGGGGATGGGGAGAGAAATTGGAGGGGAGGGAGGGTGGATTTGACCAAAGCATAATTTGCATGTGTGAAAGTGTCAAGAAATCGATGCAGCCCCCGCAGGTGTCCCGTGCAAACTGTGTTGAAGCCATCGCGGTGTATATACACATTAAACTTTATGCTGGTGCCTTTTTAGCTCTCCTGAGACGTGCTACCGCGTACAAACATCAAAACAAGCTCCAGGAGGCTGGGGAAGATCTGAAGGCAGTACTTCGTGTGGAGCCTCATAACGACTTGGCCAGGGTAAGTAGAGAAAATGATTTCTTCAAGCCGAATCCTGTCATTTTCTGTTTCCGATTTTATTTATTTATTTATTTATTTGGGGGGGGTTTTAAGACAGCGTTCCACCATGTAGCCCTGGCTGGCCTGGAACACAATAGGGAGGACCGGACTGGCAGTGAATTCAGAGGGATCTGTGGTAATATTTTGTTTATGATATAACTAAATAAAGCTTGCCTGAAGATCAGAGTGCAAAGCTAGCCACACTAGTCAGCCAGAGAGGCCAGGCAGTGGTACCACACACGGATCTCTGTTAGTTCAAGGCCAGCCTGGTCTACGTAAACTTGATCCGGTCTAAAAGAGAAACAGAGCTCACACAAGTGTGATCCCAGCATTTGGAGTGGCATGCCTTTGATCCCAGCACTGAGGAGGTGGAGACAGGAGAGAGAGATGAGTCTGAGGAGTAGTGCAGTCTAAGCAGGAGGAGATGCAGGGTGAGAACAGGATCGCCCTTTTGGTCTGAGCTTTGGTAGAGTGGCTGACTGCTTTGCTTCTCTGATCTTTCAGCTGCTTCCACCCCTAATATCTGACTCCTGGGTTTTTTTTTTTTTTTTATCATTAAAAACAATTAGAATTGGTGCTACAGAGATCCACCTGCCTCTGCCTCCCAAGTGCCGGGATTACGTTTGTATACCACCACACCTAACTATTTCTGAATGTATGCTAAAAGTGGTATCAGTCTTGCTGAGTTAGTCATGGTGGGGGCGAGTCAACAGCTATCCAAAGTCCAGAGCTCTGAAGTGTTGACATGGAAGGAAGCAGACTGTTAAGGAGAGCCTGTGTGGGGAGGACTAGGGATAGCTCAGCAGAAGCATCCTTTCCCAGCTTGCCCAGGATGCTGGCTTCAGCTCCCAGCACAGTCATTGTCGGCATCCCCACAAAACAATAATGTAACAAGAAAGAAAGGAGTTACACAGACACATGAAGCTACCACGGAATAACAAGTATTTTTTCTCTTTTCTATAAGGATGGAGTCCATGCTTCTCTAAGATAATCTTAGTTTATTACGCAGAGTGCAGAGAAGCTACTAGATAGGGTTAAGAGTGAGCACCAGGGCCACAGGTGATGATGTTGGCATGATGAGCAGCTCTGCTCCCTCACTGAGTGGACCAGCTCAGTGCTGCAGTTCTGAACTAAGGCCTAAAGAGTCGCTGTCAAGCACCGGGAAAGATGTGAGATCTCACTCTATTTGTAACTAAGCGAGATGGCTGTAGTGGCACACATACGTGTCTGTCTTAGTTACTGCTCTGTTGCTGTGAAGACACACCATGACCAAGGCAACTTGCTAAAGGAAACACTGAACTGAAGGCTGGCTTAGGTTTCAGAGGTTAGTCCATGACCATCATGGTGGGGAGCATGGCCACAGGCAGGCAGGCGTGGTGCTGGGGCAGGAGCTCGGCGCTTACATCTTCGTTTTCTGTCTTTTGTTTGTTTTCTGAAGACAGGGTTTCTCTGTGTAGCTCTGGCTGTCCTGTAACTAACTCTCTGTGTAAACCAGGAAGGCCTTGAACTTAAGGATCTGCCTGTCTCTGCCTCCTGAGTGCTGGGTGTCCTGAGGGACAGAGAGAGAGAGAGAGAGAGAGAGAGAGAGAGAGAGAGAGAGAGAGAGAGAGAGAGAGAGAGAGAGAGAGAGAGCGTGTGAGAGCTTACATTATCCACAACCAGCAGATAGGGAGATAGAATCCTCAAAGCCCACCCCCAGTGACCTGCCTCCTCCTAATCCTTCACAAACAGGTCCACGAGGAGGGACCAGGTATTCAAAAATGAGCCCATGGGGACATTCTCACTCAAACCACCTATCTTAGGTCAAGCGGGCTGTTACTCACAGTCAACGTGTTCCCCTTGTCCCCAAGCCCCACACTGCTTATAGAGTGACCGTGTGAGTGCTGTGGGCTCAGTGCGTTGTTTGCATGATGACTGAGGGTTCCAAATTTTAGGATACCAACCCCCTACACAGACATGCGTGTGTATTCAGGAACATCAGGCAGTGTACAGTGACCTGTTAACGCAGACGAGCACACCCTCTTAGGACACCAGCATGCATGTGGCACACACACAAACACACAAGCACTCAACAAAACAGTTTACAAATATTTAATGGGGAGCTACTATACAAATGTTTTTCTTTTTGATGGCATAAAGTATCATGGAACTTAGAACACTATCCTTCACAGGTCTTATGGGGTGGGTGCTTCACCTACAAACTGTCCATCTCTGTGAGTGTGCACACATTTCTGTGAGTGTGAACACATCTCTGTAAGTATACATGCATCTCCAAATGCACAAACATCTCCTGAATGTACACACATCTCTGTGAGTGTTCGTACATCTCTGTGAGTGTGCACACAGAAACATCTGGAAGCTCATCAAAATGTCAGCATTGTTAAGTGGATGGGAGGAGTCCAGCTGACTTGTTTTCTTCCTTTTTAATGTATTTTCTGTGTGTTGATTGTTTCATATCATGGCTGTGCACCTCGTGCTTAGTGCCTAAGAAGCCAGAAGAGGGCGCCAGCTCCCAGAGCCAACATGTGGGTGCTGGGAATTGAACCCAGGTCGTTTGCAAGAGCAGCCAGTGCTCTTAACTGATGAGCTGTCCATAACCCCACTTTTTTGTTTTTATTTTTTTATTCACTGTTTATTTATTTGTTTGCATATTTTATGGTGGACCAGATAAAACAATGAAATTGTTGTAGAAAGGAAACTACATGTGTTTTAAAGTCTTTTGTTTGTTCAACTTAAAGTAGCTTCATATTCCTACCAAAAAGAATGATTGTAATATGTCATAGAGTATTATTTTAAGGATCATTACTTTTGCTTACGGTCTGAAACATTTGTTTAATGATGCAAAGATGTGGTTGATTAAATAAAAATCACCTGCCTGTGGTCAGGAGGCTGGGTCAGTAAGTAGCTGACAGGAAGTTGTAGGGAGGAGCCAGATGGAGAAGGGTTCATAACCAGAGGCAAGAGGGAGTATGAGAACTTAGAAGACTTGAAGAGGTGAGCTGCTTGCTATTCAGCCTCTCTGGGAAGCGTAATCTGTCTCAACCTTTGAATCTTGAATTCTTTAGCGGGACAGAGATTTAAGTAAGTTTCCCTAGTAGCTTTGAAAGATTCCGTGCCTGAGGGAATTGGCTTCAGTTTTTGTGGCCTAGCCACTGCTGGTAGCCACAGAGTTGCAGTTGCCGAATAGGATAGCTGTAGCTTAAAAGGCAACAGTAATTAAAAAAGAAAAACAGACAGAATCCACTACCCAGGGCTCGTGGAGCTCAGAGAGACTGAACCGGCAATCAGAGAGTCTGTGTGGGACTGACCTAGGCCCCCTGCATATGTTAGTTGTGTAGCTTGGTCTCCTTCTGGGATTCCTAACAGTGGAAGCAGAAGCTGTCTGTGGGGGCGGGGGTACGATTGTATTCTTTATTAAAAGAAAAACAATTATGTTGCAGAAAACCTTGTCAGAGGTTGAAAGTGACCTGAAGAAATCGGAAGCCGCCTGTGAGCCCCAAACCAAAGGGAAAAGGATGGTTATTGAGGAAGTAGAGAACTCAGAAGATGAAGGTGAAAAGGGAAGCCAAGATAAATGTGAAGACGGTGGTGCCGATACAGGTGAGGCATCTTTTCTTTCTGGTTAATGCAAACTGCTGTTTCCATCACCAGGTGGCTTGGGAGTCTCTGTTGCTACAGAAACTGCTGGTTTCCTGACCTTTGCTCTAGCTTTGCCTTAAAGTCTGTCAGTTCAGTCCTGCTTTTTTCCTTCTCCTCCTCCTCCATCTCCTTCTTTCTTCTTTTTGTTTTGTTTTGTTTTGAGATAGGGTTTCTCTGTGGCTGTGGAGCCTGTCCTGGAACTAGTTCTGTAGACCAGGCTGGCCTTGAACTTAGAGATCTGCCTGCCTCTGCCTCCCGAGTGCCGGGATTAAAGGCGTGCGCCACCAAAGCCCTGCTTTTCTTCTTAAGTTTATTTTTACATTCATGTATTTTGTATTCATGTGCTGGGTAGGGGTACATGCCTGTCTTGGAACTTGCTCTGTAGACCAGGCTGGCCTCGAACTCACAGAGATCCACCTGCCTCTGCTTCCCAAGTGCTGGGATTAAAGCTGTGCACCGCCACTGCCTGTTCAACATGAATATTTTATAAGAAGCTATCAGTAAGTTCTCCCCTGGAGCCTACGACTTCATAGTTGTGGATTTTCACCCTATTTATACTGTCATGCACAAATTCCTTGCTGTGGCGCAGACCTCACACCCAGTGAAGAGAGTGGTTGGTCACCCCATGGCAGTCTTGCAGCTGTTGTACAGGGAGAACAACTGCTTGCAGGTTGGTGTTACAGCATGCAGGGGCCACATGGGGTAAGATCATCATCTTTTCTCCTATCAGCCTGCACAGCACCTTCCAGCACTTTCCATGAAAGCTAGCCATCTGGGAAGGCTTTCTGGTCAAGATCTGAAGCCAACATGGTTGGTGTCCTTGGCAACAGAGTCTCACCATCTTGTGGTGGGCAACCAAGAGCGATGGCAATAGTCTGTTATGGGCAGGTTTTCCCCTGCCAGTCTGTTCCCACTGCCACACCAGCCCCAAATAACACACAGAGACCCTGTTTTAGATATAATTCTGTTGGCCAGTTACTTGTAAGGTGTAGGGTTTTTCCGCCCTCCGCCTGTCTGATCCCGCAGCCGCACCAGCCCCAAATAACACACTGAGTCTCTGTATTTGATATAATTCTGTTGGCCAGTTACTTCTTTCTTATCGGCTAGCTCTGTCTTAAATATTAATCCATTTCTATGTGTTTCCGCGTGGTCTTGCCAGTTGAGAGGCGGCTGGCGGTTCTATTCTCTCCAGACTCTTCCATCTTGACCCCTCCTTCCTACTACTTCCTCAAATCCTCCTTGTCTCCTAGTCCCTCCTATCTTGCTTTCCTATTGGCCAACAGTTCTTTATTATTAACCAGTATGAGAAACATATACAGAATGACATCTCCCATCAGTTACTAGCATTTCTTATTGGCTTGCTCTGTTCTAAATATTATCCCATTTCTATTAATCTAAGTATTTCCACGAGGTCTCATCTTATTGGAGAGTGGGCCTGGACTTCTGATCTCTTAAGTCTCTCCATCTTGAATCTCCTCCCTTCTCCTTCCGGAATCCTCCTTGTCTCCTAGTCCCGCCTATCTTGCTTTCCTATTGGCCAACAGTGCTTTATTCATTAACCAACAAGAGAAACATATTTACGGAATGGCATCTCCCATCAATAGCCTGCATTGTTTTGGGTGCCTTTGGGGCCTCTGTGACGAATAAGCCACTCTTTGGGAACTGAGGCACAGTGCTAACTCCACAAGTGACGATTGCTCACACCTGCTCTGTGTGGGAGGCTGCGATTAAACTCTCAGCAGGTTTCTTTCCCTGCCCTTCTACCTTGGCTTTGTAGATCTTGCACTGGGAAAGGCCTGCCGGTTGGTCGGAGTTCCTGCTTTCCCCCTCAGAACTTGCTCATCTATTTGTATTTCTGCTTCCCTAGCAGGATAGACTGTTAGAAGCGGTTGTCACAACAGCTGGCTGTCAGGCTTCGGTGCTGTCTCTTTGCAGGCAGAGAAAGTGAGCACCCAGCCTGGCATGGAGACTCTTGGCTGCATTCCCTGCAGTTGGGAGGCAGAGGGAGGAGGAGCCCAAGATCCAGGTCTCCAGGGTCTGCAGCTTGGGCTATAAGAGCCAAGTCTCAAAGCCCAGACAAGCTCTTACAGTGCTGGTTTAAACTGGAATATGAGGACGCTGAAGTCACTCACCAGTGAGAGTAACATAGAAATACCGCCTTTGCCCTAAAATTGGTAGGATTTGGAGGTAGAAGGCAGAGGTTTCTGAGAGGAAGATAAGTCTGATTGACACTAACATGAGAACTCACTTCTGTTGGGCGCCATACGAACAACTGAAGGGGGATGCCAAACTAGGAGAGCAAAGCGTTAATGGGCTTTTGATATGAACAGTTTTTACAGAGTCATTACAAAATGGACAAGCATATTAGTACACAAACCACTAGGGAAATTACTAATGTAACAATTTATTGCTGTGAAAATTAAGTGTGTTTTTCCTATCAATTTTTCTATCACAGGAAGAAAGTGCCCTTTGTTGTAGGTTAAACTCTTTAAAAATAGTTACACACATTTTTTGAATATAACATATTTAGATATCATCTAATCTACACATTATCATGGAAGGGCACTGAATGATGGGTCAGAAATAGTTTTCTCTCTCTCTTCTGGAGTGGGGGGCAGGGGAGTATTGTTTCTGTAACACTTGCCAAAGGAACCATCAGAGAGAAGCATCTTATGAATCTCTTCAGTAATAATTCACCACAACCATCAGATTTAGTTTCCTAATCAGTGGTTTAAGTCTCTGTGGAGAGTATCTGCCTAGAATACAAGGCCCACATACATAGACACACACCTACAGACCACTCACACAGAGATATACCACACATACACACACAGATCCACAGACATACCACACATACACACCACACACACACACAAACACACACCCCAAACACATAAGACATACCACACACATACTACAAATATCCTGACACACACCACAAATACCCCCCCACATACACTTACTGTCTCTCTCAGTCTCTGCCTCTCTCTTTCTCTCTCTGTCTGTCTCTGTCTCTCTGTTTCTCTCTCCTTTGCTGGTTGCATATCTTCATTTGGGAAGAAGTCCTTTCAGTTTAAGAAATGGTCACACGGTCACACTCTGTTCCTGAACATAATTTTCAAACTTCGAAGGTTTCGGTGTGTTATCAACTATGGCCAAGGTCTAACTTGGGGACATTTTTATCACCCCTCCCCCAAGCCATCTCATTCCTGTGAGCAGCCCCTCCTTCCTCAATCGCTCCCCCTGCCCGCCTTCAGTCGCTAGCCATTACTTTTCATGGTTTGCATGTTCTTTCTGTTTCACACAAGTGCACACACATATAGTGTAGCTTTTTGTTTTACTTTTGAGGCAGGGTCTTGCTGTGGAGACCGTGCTGGCCTGGAACTCGAGACCTCCAGCCTCAGCCCTTTGAGCGCTGGGATGGTAGGTGTGTACCACTGGGCCTGGTTTAAGACTGAATGATTTTCTAATGTTGAACTACCACTTTATTCTTTTTAAATTTCCTTTATTTTATGTTTACAAGTGTCAGATCCCCATGGAAATGGAGCTGTGGGTGGATGTGAGCTGCCATGTGGGTGTTGGAAACTGAACTCGGGTCCTCTGCGAGAGCAGCTCTTAATCACTTAGCCATCGCTCCAGCCCCTGCCTTTTCATCCTTCAGACACAGCACTCTTAGTCCTGCTGTGTGGTCTTTTTAGTGTATGTTTTGTTAAGATTTTCTTGTCACTACTACAGCCAAGGCCTTCCTGCTAGCCAGGCCTCATCTAGTGTTGATTATTGCTGGCCCCTTCTGTCCTGAATCCTCTTGGTTTCCACATTCCTGCTTCTCTACTTTAGACACTCTTCCGGCTCCACAAGAGACTTCTCGGCTTCTCCCTTAGGTGTATTTCTCAAGGAATCCCCCCAGGGGTCTGGTGACCTTCTGATGATTCTTTCTGTGTCTGTTTAACATGGCCTGGCCTCCTGACAGTCCACCAGCATTGTCCTGGCTCCTATGAGTTCCCAGCAGGACTCATGAGCCCCTGTGCTTACCTCCCCCAGAGAGGTAAGCACATCTCAAATGCCAGCTGGGGCTAGCCTCTCCCTCTGTAACTGAGTGGATTCCTTGTGTCTCCTGCCTTCACTTGTAAAGTGGGAATCATACTGTCGAGTCTGGAGTCTGAGGGTTAATGGAGATTCATGTTAGGGCCTTGACTCCTGTTAGCCATCTGTAGTCATTTTGGTCAGCCGTGAGGAGATGCCACACAGAGGGATGAAATAATGCGAAATTCCTCCTATCTCTGCTGGCAAGGCTGCAGGGGGCCACGGTGAGCTGTGCAGACTTCAGGAAGCTCTCCTCACTGGCTTCCCCTGGGGACAGCAGATAGTCTTCTGACTCACAGCAGGGAAGACTCCCTAGAGCTGCCAGCGTGAGGCGGAAGTTGAGTTTATTACGGAAAGGTTCTGATAGAGATGTACGCACAGGAATCAGGGAGGGGGGGCTAAGGGGAGGAGCTGAAGACAATCCCTGCGAGTGTCTTGCCCACAGCTCCACAGAGAACTTGGGTGGCCCTTGAAGGTATGCTGTTTAGAGGATATGCCGGTCAAGGGGAAAAGTCGTTGCACACCTTTTATCTTAGAAACTTGTCTTCAGTAGAGGAGAGAGTATATAAGGTACTGTATGGAGTTCATCTAACCGGTTTTACAGGCTGAGAAGATAAGGATGGGTCAGAAGGGTCCAAGGAATCCACCATACACAGGCCACAATCCAGGCCTTTTGAGTGTAAATATGGCTCATAGCCTTATTTGTGTGATTTTTTTTTTTTTTTTAATTCTCAGCCAGTGGGGGTATCCAGCCTCCTTCCCTCCCCACATTCCCTTTTCTCTTTCTGTCCACTTTTTATACCAGTTTGTGCTTAGAGAGTTGGCTGGGGGTGGGGGGACTTTAGTATGTTTACCAGTCTTGTGATTAATTTCAATTACACAATCTTTTCTATTATTATAGTAACCGAGCCTCTTTTGGTTGGTGATTCAGATTGGATTTCATTTTTGAACTTGTATGTGAGTGTGGTGGCTCGCATCTGTAATCTCTAATATTCAGAAGACTGAGGCAGGAGGGTTATCATGAGAACCAGGCCAGCCTGGGCTATAGCATGAGCATCTGTCTGAAAAAGGAGGGGGGTGGGGAAGAGGGGAGGCGGAGAAGGCGTTGAAAGAGGAGGAGGGGGAGAAAGATGAAGAAAGGGATGAAGAGGGGGTAAGAGGAGGAGGGAGAGGAGGGTGGAGAAAGCTATTATTGTATTGTCTAGTCACCATGGGTTTTCATACGATAACTGTGGTTTTCTCCTCTATCTCAGATCTTCGCCTTTCTTTGTAAAGATGATAGAAAATACAGCCAGGAAAAGTTGGATTAGAACTTGTTAAACAGAGGAGGCTTAGAAACTTGGGTGTTTATAGTTTTTGTTTAAAACAAAGTCTCAGTATGTTTCCCTGGGTGCCTGGCAGAGATCTGCCTGCCTCTGTGTCCGTCCTCCATTCAAGGCAGTACCACCAGCTTTAAAAACCTTTTTTTTTTTTGCATCATTTTGGAATACTTAGTCACTCTGCTTTAAATATTGACAAGACACCCACAAGTGAAATGCATACCATTTTCATATTTAAAACTAGAATCAAGTTATTAATGTCTGGAACTTGAAGTTGAATTCAAGAACTTTTTACTTTGATTGGAAAATTCACCATTTTGTTTTTATTTTCGTAGTCCATGCTGGCCAAGAATTTGTCATAGCCTCCAAGGGCTGTGATTATAGACATGTACCACCACATCCAGCTATGAGCGGAAAGTTGTCTATTTTTAGAGCCTCATTAAGCCCTAAATACTTTGTAAGATTTTGCTAACTTCATTTTCGAAACGAATTGGGAAAAAAAATTACTTTGACTTTATCTTTCAAATGACCTTTTTCTCCTAGTTCCCAGACACTTGGGTATAGTTCTCACCGTGTGAATCAAGTTCTAGTGACTCCATCCATCCATCCATCCATCCATCCATCCATCCATCCATCCATCCATCCATCCCTAAATGGCCAATGAAAGCAAGCTCTACCTGGACAGGTGTAGTTCGGTGACAGGGATGGCTTTGAAAGGCCAGCTTGCGGTCGCCTGCCCTTCAGCAGTTGAGGAGTTAATCTCAGGCTTGCTCCTTGCAGATGGGCGCGGGACCGGGTCCTCGGGGATCCTGGGGCCGGGCGGGCAGGACGCCCACTCGGGGCGGTGGGGAGCTGGGACTCCGCCCGCGGGGTGGCGCCTCCCGCCCGCACCGGCCAGGCTGGATCCCGGGCCGGGGATGCCTTCACCTCCCGCGCTCGCCTTTCCCTACAGCCAGCAGCGCCATGGGCAACATCCAGAAGAAACTGCTGGGCCGGAGCGAGGGTGGCAGGCGGTCGCGGCGGGGCCGGACCCCGGGGCCCCGAGCCGAGCAGCGGGGAGGCCTGCCTGAGCCAGCGACGGCCGGAGGCTGCGACAACCCGTACCCCAGGGAGCCCCGAGCCGCCGATGGTCCCGGTGACCTCAAGAGGCACGGCAACGAGCTGTTCCGCGGCGGGCAGTTCGCCGAGGCGGCCGCGCAGTACTCCGCAGCGATAGCGCAGCTGGAACCGGCAGGTAGGCGAGCCCGTGGCCACCACTGCGGGGTCCCCGGCTGCCGGCTGGAGCTGGGGACAGACGCCGGCCTCTCTTTCCCGGCGACAGACACTGGCCCCGCATTCCTTCCCGGTGACTAGTCACCGCGCCACCTGACCTACGTGAGCAATATCTCGGAATGCGGAGCCTGTGCCTGTGCCGGCCGGGCAGGTTTGCATGGGGCCCTTCCCTCCCAGTGCGGGGACAGCTCCTCCTTGGAGATCTGCAGGACTAGCAGGCTGTGGGACCGACTGCAGTGCTGTGCGCGCAGAAAGAGACTGACCGCAGTCCTGACAATTCAGTGAACGGTGATTCTGCTAATGGGTTTTTAACTGTGTTTAATTAAATGTGGTTTTAGGAAGCGCAAGTGCAGAAGAGCTAAGCATCTTGTATTCAAACAGAGCAGCAAGCTATCTCAAGGAAGGGAACTGCAGCGGCTGCATCCAGGATTGTAACAGGTAAACGCGGGCCAGGTTTGTCAAGAGATGGTTGTAATGGCAGTGTGGAGAAGGCAATGTGTAATAATAGCCTTCCAAGTTTTCTGTTATAAGATCCTAGATTCCTAAGACTGTTTCAAGCACTGTAACTAGAAAGTAGGAAACCCCTAAGTCTACACACACAGATACACACACACACACACAATACAAACTTTTTCTTTTCCCTGCTCCCACCAAAATTTGTGCTTTTCCCTCTCCATCTGGATTACCAGAGATGCCTAATATCTGGTTTTGGGCCACTTGTCACCCGGCTGGCTAACTTCTGCTGCATTTTGCTCAGGCTTTCTCCAGTGGCCATCCAATGGCTCAGTACTGTGCCCAGATGAACTCCCTTGGCACCACCTGGCCCCCACACTGGATCCACTTCCTTCCACTCACCACCTATGCCCCAGCCTCCCTTCTGCCACCTTGTTCCAGACATGGGTCGTGTTGTCTGCTGGTCTTTGCACCTAAAATCCTGCTCAGCTGCTGGCCTACGTGGTGGGTTTCCCCAGGCCCCCTGGTCATCAGCAGGCTGAACACTGGTCCCACCCTTAGCTGAGCTTGTAGACAGAGATCCTTGACCATTCTCTGCAGCAGCACCAAGCTCACTACCTGCCCAGCTGCATGAATATATGCATGGGAATAAAACCCTGTGTTTTCTTTTACCATTAAGTCGTAAACCCTTCAGCAAGAAGTTACTATTAGCACATCTGAACACAATGAACTGTGTTCCAGGTGGACTAACACAGGCCTGGTTTACTACTGCTGTCTCATGGAATCAGAGATGCTCACACCTTCTCACCCACGGAAACACTAGTTTGTCGTCGTCATCTTGGTTGTCGTCTTTTTTGGTTTTTCGAGACAGGGTTTCTCTGTATTGTTTTGGAGTCTGTCCTGGAACTAGCTCTGTAGACCAGGCTGCCCTCCAACTTCTAGAGATCCACCTGCCTCTGCCTCCCCAGTGCTGGGATCAAAGGTGTGCACCACCAACCCCTGCCAGAAGCTCTAGTCTAAACAATACATTTATGAGCCCTGTTTATAAGGCAAGCGGTTTCTTTCGTTGACTTGGTCAGCTTATTGATGTAGCATCAGCTTGGAGTATTTGCATGTCCGGTGTCAAAAGAAGCTCTGTGGCACGTGGGTGGGTGTTTGTTTGTTGATGCCAATCTCATAAACTGGAGTTTAATACAATAGGGTTTATATTTTGGTTTGGCCTGTTTCGCCCACAGTTGTGCCAGCTCCCATTAGCTAACTGTGATGTTTTCAGGATTTTATGAGCTGGTTGACGTTGGGTGGGTAGCCTGAAATCGGTCATGGTACGAGCACAAACCGCATGAACACAATCAGATGCCCCAAATCTGAGCGCTCCCCACACTGAGCCTGTTAAACGGTCCCCATTGCCTGTGACTGAGAGGGCCATGTGAATGTATGAGCTTGGCCTGTCGTGATCAGCAGGGAGAGCTTCCTTTCTATGGCAGTGCCTGTCTCTCTCATGTATTGCTCTGGAGGACACCAAAGATGGAGACTCCAGCCCTGGTGTTATCCACTGAGCCTAGAACCAGAGGAGCTGGTCCTGGGGGAGCCAGATGGCCCCTGGGAAGTGGGGTGGGTGGTAGCTTAGGGAGAGTGACCCCTGAGCTGTGTTCTAAGCCCAGGAATGTGGCTCTGCCAGTCAGTGCTGACCTCTGTGCAGGCTGACCTACTTAGGTGTTTTCCTCTGATACCTGCTGAGATTCCCAGCAGGAGGGCTGGAGATGGTGTTTACTGCCAGACTTGCTTTCACTGCAGAGGTGTGCTTCAGGAGCATGTCCAAATTAAGGGCATATGTGAGTCTACATGAACGAGAACTCCTTTATTGGTAGAAGTGTGATGATCACCCCAAAGACTGCACACGTTTTAGTTTTCAGTAATATTTGCCTTTTGAAGAGTTCCACGAGCTCTTGTTGTAAGTCAAACCTTGAGAAAGAAGCCAGCCGGGAGTCGTGGCTCACCCATGTAATCCCAGCACTTGGGAGGCTGACGATGGATCAGGAGCTGAATGAAGGTCGACCTCAGCCACAGGGAGAGGCTGAGGCCAGCCTGGGCTACCTTAGACCCCGACTCAAAAAAACAAGCCAGACATTTTAAACATGGAAAAACTTTTAACCTGTGAAGATACTGTTTTAATTTAAGAATTATTTTTAAAGCATTTAAGTCACGTGTGTGCCACATGTGTGGGTGTCTGAGGAGGCCAGAGATGTTGCATCCCCTGGAGCTGGAGTTACCGTGGCTGTGAGTTGCCTGGTGTGGGTGCTGGGATCAAGCTGAGGTCCTCTGCAAGAGCAGCAGCTGGTTCTAACCCTGAACCGTCTCCCCAGCCCGAAGACACGTGTTTATGTATCTTTGGAGCAGCAGGGTTTCCCAGAGGCTTGTTTGCAGAATCACGCTTGGAAAAGGTGGTGGTACACAGGGCTGTGGGCCTACTCCCGCCTCATTTGATGGCTTCTCCACATTTTAGCATGTGGGCTTCATGTGAGACATAAAGAGGCTATCATGCTTAAGTAACACACACACACACACACACACATATCACTGGACAGCTTCCTATTTAGAATATTCTGATTGATTGAAGTTGCCTCTGCTCCCGACAGACTTGCCCACAGGGAACTCATGAGTGTCACCATTGTTAAGCTGAGTAGCCAGTCTCCTGTCCCGGAGCACTCTGCTATGCATGCTCTCGGCGCTTGTCTGTGTTTATGGTTGGATGAGTCTTCTCGTTAATGGAATTTCCATTCATAAACTCATACCCATTTTCAGGATTTCGGTTAAAGAATAAAAACACTAAATCCTTACATTTCCTACGATAGAAAGTGATAAGAACCGTGTATCCCATTCTATCAATTTTAGATTCCAAGCTTAGTTGATTGTGCGGTTCCTAGAGCATTGAATGCCTGTGGGATTGGAGATGGTGTTGTGGGTGTGGCAGGGACACCTTTGCCCTCTCTGGTCTCACAGATTAAATTTATCTTTAGTGATAATGAAAGTACTTTGCAGACTAACCAGTGCAAAATGAACACTCATGATTAACAGGAAAGACCCTTTTGGTCTGTTACTGACATCCATAGGTAGAGTTTTTTCATCGAGACCACCGGTCAGTTCTGCCTTGCAAGCCACTCCCAAATAACCATACAGAGACTTATTATTAGTTATAAATGCTTGGCCCATAGCTTAGATTTGTTATTAACTAACTACTACAACTTAAATTAACCCGTTTTTATCTATGTTCTGCCACGTGGCTTGGCACCTTATCTGAGTACAGCATGTTCATCTCCTGCTTCCTCTGCATCTTACTCTCCACTCCCAAGACTCCTCCCTTCTTCCCAGCTTCCTCCTACTCTGGCTTTCCACCCAGCCTCTTCCTGCCCAGTCAGGTCATTATTAACCAATGGTAATAATACATATTTACACTATACAAAGATTGTTCCACTGCAGACAACTTTTTACAATGAAATCATAATGAAATAAAAAGTATTAGAAAGCTGATTTCAGAAAACATCATGCAAGTTCTTGTGGTTTAGTAGTAAGGTACCTTATTAAATATTATAATGCTTAATAAGACACAATGAAGAATTATCTCTCAAAGTGTGTGTGTGTGTGTGTGTGTGTGTGTATGTGTGTCTGTGTATGTGTGTCCTCCATTTTATCTTTTGAGACACAGTCTCTCACTGATCCTGGGCTTGACTGCTTACAAACTCACTTAGACCTGCTGGTCAGTGAGCCTGTGCTTGCCCCTTCCACTCGGGGATAACACACAGATGCTGCCATGGTGATTTTATGTAGGTTCAGGGAATCTCAATTCAGGGTCACCTGCTTACAGAGCAAGCACATTCCTGGCTGAGCCATCTCCCTTGTTGCAAGTCTTTGTAAGCGGCCCACAATGTAATTCTTGAAGCATCGCTCTGGGGCTGGTGCCACCATGGTTCTGCCAGGGGACTACGGAGGCTGCAGTGCCAGGGAGCTCACACTGTATTGTAGGACTGAGGGCGCTCCAGAGTGCTTTGTTGTCCGTGGGCTCCAAGACAGTGAGATTGCTGTGCTGCCAGGACCCCAGGATGAAATATGAGGTGTGATGTGCAAGAGTCTAGTACTGCAGTGTGCATAGTTAGGTAGAAAGTACAGGGCTCTTCTCAAGGTAACCGCTGTGTAATATTCTGTCCTCTTAGGGCTCTGGAACTTCACCCATTCTCAGTGAAGCCTCTTCTGCGACGAGCAATGGCCTACGAAACCTTAGAGAAATATGGGAAAGCTTACGTGGATTATAAAACAGTGTTGCAGATAGACTGTGGAATCCAGCTGGCAAGCAGCAGTATTAACAGGTAATCGGTCTGAGGCTGTCCTCCAGGGTCTGTGTCCGTCAGAAAAAGGGTCAAGCTATTCCCGTCCCTTCTTCCAAGAAGGTTGTCAAATTTGTTACAGGCCCCCATCCACTTTACCGGAACGGTCCTCTCTTCCTAACTCGGTTTCTCAGATCCCTTCAGGATCCCTGGCTTATCCTCTTATGTTTATTTCTGTGACGTCACTTTACTTACTTTGATAACACCATGTGTGCAGCTTCTGTGTGCTTCTTAAATCTGGCTGTCAAAAGGTGTTTCCATGGATGTCCAAGTCAGCACTGGCACTAGGACAGAATCTAAGTAGGTGCTGTAGACAGACTGCAGATACACCTTCTCACAGGGTTTATGCATTCATGCGGGCGCCATGTCTGTTGGGGGGAACGCGCCTGCTGTTTATGCTCAGGAAGAATGCTTCGTGAACATGCTCATGTACTCTTGCAAGCAGACGCCTGCCTAGGAGTATTACTTAAGTGATGAAATTGCCAAGAGTTTGATCTAGTTAAAAGTCTGACCAAGTTATCCCATGCAGGAGAGTGAGAAGACAAGAATCTTCAGACTATGGGGCTGGAAGTATAGCTTAGGGCTATGGATTCAAACCCTAGTAACACAGACTTCATAAATATTCAGGTAAAAATTGAAGCCTATGCATCAGATAACATTTCCTAGTTATGTATCATATTTTATGGTATTTTCTCATTCCATTTTCCCAAACGGCAGCTTTTCAAGCATCCCTGGCTATCCTGGACCCTGTGCTGGTCTTAGTGCGCCATGCCTCACATACCTTGTAAAAGACAAAAGCAGAGGTGGCGTGATCTCTTGCCTCTTGGAAGCAGTGTAAGACGGAGCACCCCCGGTGGGACAGTGCACTGGACAGTGAGATGCAGGGATTGTAGAGGGTGAGGCAGGCCTGGCCGTGGCTCCTGTGGAGGACTTGCTCAAGTGCCTATGAAGGGCCCTAGCAGAACACCAGAAGGTTGTGAGCACTTGAGGAGATGGTGAGGATGGCCTGGTCCAGGAGGTGGTGAGGATGGCCTGGTCCAGGAGGTGGTGAGGATGGCCTGGTCCAGGAGGTGGTGAGGATGGCCTGGTCCAGGAGGTGGTGAGGATGGCCTGGTCCAGGAGGTGGTGAGGATGGCCTGGTCCAGGAGGTGGTGAGGATGGCCTGGTCCAGGAGGTGGTGAGGATGGCCTGGTCCAGGAGGTGGTGAGGATGGCCTGGTCCAGGAGGTGGTGAGGATGGCCTGGTCCAGGAGGTGGTGAGGATGGCCTGGTCCACACGGATCCATTTTTCAGTCATGCCCTGCCTTCCCCAGGGTTCTACTTCAGTAGCAGCTGTTGGTGGGAGCTGTCCCTTGGCAGTCACCCAACTCAGTGGAAGAAAGTGGCATGTTCAGTCTGAGCATCCCTAATTCTGAAAGCCCCAAACTCAAAACGATTCAGAATCGGAAACTTCTTGAAAGTCTACATGAATTTCAGTACCACAGTAACACGCATGCACACACACATGCCCCTCACTACCATGGTATTTCAGGAATCCAAACAATAGGGTCAAAAAGTCTGTGGCAATAGGCTCAATGGCATGAACTGTGTATGGGAGACCATGTTGATTCTAATTTCTCAACTTTCTGCATTGTTCTTCTTTAAAACACACACACACACACACACACACACACACACACACACACACACACACAAAATTGAACACCTTAAATTGTATGGTCCATGGCATTTAGTGAACACAGCGTCATGAAGCTATCAGTTTCCTCTTGTTTTGTTACCTTTTTATCTGACTCCGAGGCAACCCTGTCCCCATCAGGCAGTCACGCCCTCTCCTCCTTCCCAAGTCCACAGCAGCCAGCCATCTGCTTCCTGCCTTTTGTGGATTTGCCTATTCGCGGTTTTTCTTTTTTTTCATAGAAATAGAATCATAGACTATGTACTGTTGTGCTTGACAAAAGGTTTCTATGATTCATCCATGGTGCAGTGTATGCCAGCCCCGACTTTATGTCCTGTTCCTGTATGCACAGTTCGAATCTTTTAAAAATTCTTTTATTAATCAGTCAGTTTGATGGTCACTCTGGTTGTCTCTGCCATCTTGCTTTTACAAATACCGTGTCTGTGGCGTCCCTGGATAAGTTCTCATTTATTTGCTTGCCCACTCCACTTCCTTTGGTTTACGAGTAGGAGAGGGATTGCTGGCCCCGGTGGTAATGCCGTGTTAGCTTTCTGAGGTTGGTATTGCGCATTTACATAGGACACTTTCAGAGCAGTTGACTTTATTACTTTTTGTTTTGTTTTGTTTTGTTTCTTCCCGAGACAGGGTTTCTCTGTGCCTTTGGAGCCTGTCCTGGAACCAGCTCTTGTAGGCCAGACTGGTCTGGAACTCACAGAGATCCGCCTGCCTCTGCCTCCCGAGCGCTGGGACTAAAGGCGTGCACTACCACCACCCGGCAAGATTTAGTCACTTTTTAATGGAATTTAAAAGTTGGGCAATCATTTTATAAGAAAGACGAGGAAGCTTTAGGTTTTCCACGTTCTTCCTAATTAAAACAATTTCACTTCATTCATTTTTATGATGCCAGATTCATGCTTGCTTTTCCATATTATTAAAGAGCATTGTGGGAAATCAGACACCAGCAACTTTTTTTTTTTTTTTTAAACATCTGCTTAGTTTGGTTTTGTCTTCCATTAACGTCTGTCTCTCTTCCCCTCTAGGAACCTTAGTATGTTAGACTCTCTGCATCGCTTGCCCTGCCAACACCGCATCTCTTTTCAGCTGCCTCTTCTTTTCCTCTCTTCTGGTAATAACAAAGTTTGCTTCAGACTCCTGTTTTCAAAATCTTTATCTTCTACTGTTGTGGAGGGCTATACATTAATGTTCAAATTTATCTTTTCAAATACAACCAAGGAGATGTAGTTATATTATAACTGTAGTTTATAACAGAAATTTCTATAGGAAAAACTATAGAAAAAACATGTATAATTATCCGTAGGTAAATATAAAACTTTTTTTTTTATACAAGAGTATATGCAATTACAGACCCAACTAACATGAATGCATTTCACTAATTACCAGCCAGTCTTGGGAAGTTCCTTTTAAAAACCAGATATCTGTTCCTTTTTAAAACCAGATATCTGTCCCAAAGACATAACCCAATATTGCTTTTAAATCTAAGTTCTACTTTAAAAAATAAAAATAAAACTTTGAGTTAGGGGCTCCTCACTGTGGAGTCCTGGCTGGTGCATGTCTTTAATAGCCACATGAGTTCAAAGCTCCGGAGACAGGGCAAGATGGTAAGGCCTTATCTCAAAACCAAAACGGAAAACCCAAGAAGGAAAAGGAAATGGTCTAATTAAGTAATCAATGCCAACCTCTAAAAGTCCTTGGAAACAGTTTATAAGGACTGCATGTTTTTCTACAAGGAAGCACACTTAGGTACAGCTCAGTCAGTATGGCTATTTTATTGTTAGATACAGCTCTGTCAGTATGACTATTTGTTATTACTATTATTATTATTTTGGTATTTTGAAGACAGGGTTTCCCTATGTAACCCTTGCTGTCCTTGAACTCCCTCTGTAGATCAGGCTGGCTCGAACTCAGGGAATCCCTCTCCTCTGCCTCCCAGGTGCTGGGATTAAAATCACATGCGTTACTATCGCAGTGCAGTCAGTCTGATACTTTATCGAACCTTTCTCTCTTTAGGATAACAAAAATATTAATGGAGGTAGATGGACCAAAATGGCGGGAGAATTTGCCACCCATCCCAGTTGTACCTACGTCTGAGCCACCACAAGTTCAGCATCCTGCTGCAGAGACCCCAGACCAAGAGCCACATCCCAGCGGTTGCCCACCGGGCATCACAGGTTGGAAGGACTACTACATCTTGAGCTACAGGAGCATATCCGGGGAGAAACTAAGGGGGCGGAGCCTGGTTGTCCCACCTGGGGGTCAGACTTTTCTGCCTCTTAGAGACTGGACTGCTTCTCACCTCCAAGTCTGTGTGCCCAGGAAAGGGGGGTAAGGAGTAACAGGCTTGAGGTGGTTCCCAGAAGTAAATGGAGGTGCATGCACACGGGACTTGGCCCTTGTGCTACCTGTGGAAGCCAATGGCCACCTCTTAGTGTGGAGCCGGCATTATTGAGAGGAAGAGAAAGAAATTGAGCTGTTGATGATAGATTCAGGGTAGTTAGATGCTTGTGTAAAAATGCTTGCCACACAAACCTGAGTTCAGTGTCCTGTGGTGGAGGGGAGAGCAGACCGCCCCAAACTGCCTCTGAACCCCATGTGCTTGCTGTGGGACAAGTCACACATACGCATCACGCAGACAAATGATTCTCAAATGACAATGTGCAGATCTACAGTTGGCAAATTTGGGTGCTGGGTAAACACCACACCAGGTTTTAAAAGTTTGACATTTGCCGAGCCTTGGTGGCGCACGCCTTCAATCCCAGCACTCAGGAGGCAGTGCACACAGATCTCTGTGAGTTCAAGGCCAGCTCGGTCTACAGAGTGAGTTCCAGGATAGGCTCCAAAGCTACACAGAGAAACCCTGTTTTGGAAAAAAAAAAAAAAAAGTTTTACATTATTCATCAAATATTTATTGAATCTTTAAAGGTTTATTGATTTTTATGTGTGAGTACTTTGCCTGGATGTATATATGTGTACCACATATGTGTACCAGATTATGTGCCTGGGACCGGAAAAGGTCAGAAGAAGGCATTGAATCCCCTGAAACTGGAGTTACAAATGGTTGTGAGCCACCACATAGATGTTGGGGACTGAACCCAGGTCCTATGCGAGACAGCAAGTGCTCTTAACCACCAAGCCATCTCTCCAGTCCCCAGCTTTTAAAAATCATGAGTGTGTGCCTTGAGTACAGGCACACATAGAGGCCTGAAACATCTGGCTTAGTGCCAGGCATCAAACCCGAGTCCTCTACACGCATATTCTTTTTATTTTTATTTTTTTTTATTTTTTATAACCAAGTCCATTGAAATGAAAACAAACATTTATAGACAATATTTGGGAATTTGGGCATCATTCTTTCCAAACTACTTCCTGCTGGTAAGGGGCGCTGTCATGGGGGATTCTAAGAAGATGCAGAAATCCTAGCTGTAGTCTGTAAGGCTGCTTTATCTAAGCTGTTTTGAATGTAGGATCACTTGGAACTCTGTTTCAGGCGGTCTGGCTTGATCAAGCCACATTAGTCTGGAAGGAATCCACAGCTTTTCATTTTCTGTGGAAACAAAAATAGAAATCCTTTTCCCCAGTAACTTGTCCTTGAACTTAAATTTTTGAGTCAGAGCATTTTTTAAAATTTATTATTTTACATGTCGATCCCAGTTCCCTCTCCCTCCCTCCCTTTTACCCTCTCTGCCCTCTCACATGCACCCTAACCACACTCCTCTCCCATCCCCCCACCACAATTCCATATGTAGGGGAATGTCATCCTGTTGGGGTCATGTAGATCTGACAGGTCATGTGAAGTAGGGACTAGGGCTTCTCTCCTGTCTCTAGGTTAAGGCAGTTATCCCTCCATGGGGGATGTGTTCGCAAAGTCCTTTTGTGCACCAGGGATACATCCTGGCTCCACTGTCTGAGGTCCCTTAGACTGCTCAGTCCTTCTGGCTGAGACCCATGTTCAGGGGGCCTGAGTCAGTCCCATGCTGGCTTCCCAGCTATCAGTCTGGAGGCCTTGCTCAGGCCTTAGCTCCTCCTTGCTCAGGTAAGCTGTCTCTATGTGTTTCTGCTGCCTGGTCTTGTCCTCTCCATCTGCGTCTGGGTTCTAGTTCATCTCAGTATTTATGTATAGGTGTTTGCTCCTGTTTCCAACAGGTATTAGATGAGGGCTCCATGGATAAGTTAGTTGTTGATCTCACTATCCGGGAAGGGCATTTATGGTAGCCTTTCCACGGAAGCTCAAATTGTTAGTAGGCGGCAGTCTTGGAGTTCTCTAGACCTTTGTGTTCAATTTTATCTTCAAACCAATATTAGCTCCCTCTTTTATGTTTTCTCTCTCTCTCTTCCCCTCCCTCCCTCCCCCCCCCCTCTCCTGTCTTCTATTCCTAACCAGGCTCAGTCTTCCTGGTCGCACGTGTTTTCCTTTCCTCTTCCTCATTTTCTCCTACTTCTCTCTCCATTTGCTGCCCCCCCCCACTTCACCTGAGCTCTGGGGGACTTGTCCCTTCCAGGTTCTATGAGGGACTTATATGAATCTCTTAGAATACACCTTGTATCCTAGTTCCTCTGGTGGTATGAATTATAGGCTGGTGATCCTTTGATCTAGGTCTAAAATCCATATATGAGTGAGTACATACTATGTTCCTCTTTTTGTGACTGGGTTACCTCATTCAGGATGGTTTCTTCAAGTGCCATCCACTTGCCTGCGAATTTCAAGATTTCATTATTTTTTTCTGCAGAGTAGTATTCCTTGTGTAGATGTGCCACATCTTCATTATCCATTCTTCAATTGAGGGGCATCTAGGTTGCTTCCAGGTTCTTGCTATTACAAATAGTGCTGCTATGAACATAGTTGAACAGATGTCTTTGTTGCATGGATGTGGATCCTTTGGGTATATGCCTAAGGGGGATTGCTGTGGTAAACGAATTCCCATTTTCCCGAGGAACCACCATACTGATCTCCAAAATGGCTGTACGAGTTTGCACTCCCATCAGCAGTGGAGGAGTGTTCCCCTTTCTCCACATCCTCTCCAACATGAGTCATCATTGGTGTTTCTAATTTTAGCCATTCTGGCAGGGGTAAGATGGTATCTCAAAGTTGTTTTGATTTGCATTTCCCTGATAACTAAGGATGTGGAGCACTTTAAGTGTCTTTCAGCCTTTTTGATTTCCTCTATTGAGAATTCTTTCTTCAGTTCTGTACCCCATTTTTTAATAGGGTTATTTGGTGTTTTGTTGACTAGTTTCTTGAGTTCTTTGTATATTTTGAAGATCAGCCCTTTCTACAAGCATATTCTTAAAAGATGAGCCATCGTTCCGGCCCCAGCTTTGTGGGTTTTTTTTTTTGTTTTGTTTTTTTTTGTTTTGTTTTTTGCTTTGGTTTGAGTGAGGGTTTCACATAGTCCAGCCTGGCTCCTAACATGATAGAGAACCATGAGTAACCCTGAATGCTGGGCCTCCCACCTCCACCACACAAGTGCTGGGATTGCCGGCATGCACCACCATGTCCATTCACTGACTGTATTAGTAGCCTGTCCAGAGACTTACTCCACCCTAAATCCAGCTTAATGAAATGTCTGAAGTACTACTACCCAGGTGTTCGACAGCATGCTTTTCAATTACAGGAAACCATAGGGCTTGTGACATCATGGAAGCAGCTGTGAGACTGCCTCACGCTGGGTCAGTGTCCCAGTGTATGGCTTGGTTCTCTCATCTCTCACACAGTTCTTGTTCCTGTTAGTTTCTCCAGAGTTCCAGTGGAGAAAAGAACATGTGTAACACATTGCTCGCTTGTAACAGTGTTACAACTGTTCATACACTCAGCTCCTCCTCTTTCATTTTATGTTTTACTGTTTAGCCTTGCTCCTCCAAGCACTTGACTCTTCCATGGAGAGTTTACTGATAATTGTTCTTAAGCTCTTATGGATGTACTCACAAAATGTTTTCTCTATATATTTATTTTACTGTTTCCACAGATGAAAAAATGTTTCAAGTCCTTAAGGAAGAAGGAAATCAACTTGTAAAGGACAAAAACTATAAGGATGCCATTAGTAAATACAGCGAGTGCTTAAAAATTAACAGCAAGGAGTGTGCCATCTATACAAACAGGCAAGTTCTTCATGGTATTCTGTATGTCTTCTGTGAATAGCTTCTATTATTTTAAAATCATTTTTAATAAATTAGCTTAATAAAATTCATTAATAGCCAGTTCTATGTAATGCTTCTAAGAATCAGTATGCAAGCTATCTTGGGTGTTTCTGAAAGAGCTGAGCTACAAGAGTTGGAGGAAAAGGTTGAGAAAGTTGAAAATCTGATGCCGTGGTCTCATGGGCCACCATTGCTGATGGAGCTGGTCCTCCTCTGTCCCTGCTCTGTCTGCTTGTCCAGGCTGCAGTAAGGTGGGCCTAAGCTCTGTCCAGTGGACATGGGGGTTGGGTGGGGGAGTGACTGGTGACCTTTAAACTACTGTCGTGCTAAAGGAACGACAAGTTTCTTTTATAGTTTGTGGCAGGTTGTTCTAGAACTAATTTTAACACTGATACTTCAGGGATTTGTTGGGAAGGTAGGAGACAGTCACTGGAAGAATAATCAGTTTTAAGCATTTTTTTTCTAGTTATTTCATATAATTTTTATTTTTTTTGAGAATCTCCATATATGAGTACTGTATTTACATCATTTCAACCCCTCCCTCCGATAAAGTCTATTTTATGTGTGTTTTGCCTGTATTGGATGTATGTGTACCATGTGCATTTGTGGTACTTGCAGAGATCAGAAGAGGGTCATTGATCCCATGGAACTGGAGTTCCAAATGGCCGTCAGATACTATATCACTATGTGGATCCAGGAACCAGGCCCAGGTGCCCTGCCAAGAACAAGTGCTTTTAACTGCTGAGCCATCCCTCCAGCCCCTCAGATAAATTCTTGACTAGCCTTTTAGGGTGGCATTGTACGTATTACCCTCTTGGGGCCACTGCTGGCCAAACACATTGTCACTACATCCAATAGATGAGTTTCAGCCCTTGCAGAATGGGCAGGAATGGCGCTCAAGTATTTCTGGAGACCCTTTTGCCCATGGCTGGTGTGGCATGGAGCTCATTGCCTGGTCCTGGTCCTGCCCTCTGCAGGTCTCCCATTGTGTAGTGTCTTGCTGCTTGGAAGGTCCAGATCACTGTTCCAGAATTGCACTCTAGACCCGCTCATCCCTCCCGGATCTCCACTCCCCTCTTATCCTTTTGCTTCTCAGATCTGTTTTCCGACTTCCATATTGGAGAAGTTGTGATTGCCTTTTCTTTCCCAAGTGGGTGGTAACCTTGGGGGGGGGTCTCCTACCCTCTGACTGTCAGCCCCCCTGAGCGCCCACTGTCATCTGACTGGTTAGCAGTGCCCCCTGCGGCATCCCGGCCTTCTCTTCTTTCTGTAGCTGCCACCTGTTACAGACATGCTTCTGCTAGGCTCAGGATGAAGCTGCCCGTGGACAGGGGGTCCTTTGTGATCTGGCCTGTCCTCTCTCCCAGCTCCACCCCAGCCAGGCTTTTCCTACTTCACCTACATCAGGCTCTGTCCTGGGAAGGCTGTGCCCAAACTGTCCTTGGCCTCCCTCCTTGCTGTCACTTTTTTCTGCCCTTTCTGCCCAGTGCTGTGGCAATGTCATCCTCCCTTCATACGCCCATATGCATGCCTGCCTTTAAGCTGATGAACATTATCTTCCGGGAAGTCTGTCTGCTCACTCTGTCCCACAAGACCTGCTGTGGGTCTCAGCTGCGTGCTTCCAGAACCCTCTACAGATCTTATTAAGATGCTCCCTTTCCTTCTTGTTCTGTTTCCTACCTTGTTGCGTCCTCCTTTTGGGTCAGGGTATGTCTGGATTGCAGTGGTCTCCCCAGTAATGTTGTCCTCCCCAGTGAGAGCACCACGCCTGACTTCAGGTTTTATGCCCCACTTGAAGCAACTAGGTACTTCCCCTTCTTTTTAAACATACTATAGAAATTTAAAAAAAAAATTTTTTTTATCGTGTGTATGTATGTGCAGGTGTCCGATCCCCAAGAGCAGGGTAATAGGCAGCCATGAGCTATCCAGAGCGGGTGCTGGGAACTGAACTTGGGTTCTCCGCAAGATGGGCAAGTGCTTTTTAAACACCGCTAACCTCCCAGTCCTACCAGCTGTCTAAATACACTTGCGTGTGTTGTGCCAGAGCCCTCTGTTACTTGAAGCTGGGCCAGTTTGAAGAGGCGAAGTTGGACTGTGATCAGGCGCTTCAGATAGATGGAGAGAACATGAAAGCTTGTTACAGACTAGCGCTCGCCCAGAAAGGACTCAAGGTAAGGTCATCTGTCTTTGTGTGTTAATTTCATCCCTGGACAGACATGCGTGTGAATGTCGGGATCATGAATTCACAGTGAGACTGAACCTGGGTATACACCGACCTGCTGGGAAGCCCCAGAACCACCCTCATCTCCAGTGTGGACCCCATACTTTCTAAATTCCCAGCCAGCTTGACTTCAGTCCCCAGGGAGCACTTGGCTAGTTTTCCAGCTCTACTTTCCTAAGGCATCAGGGAATCCTCACTTTAAGGGAGATGGCTTATTGCTGCTGTTGTGTAAATATAGGAAACTTTCAAAGAAAACAAAAACACAACCATTGGCTTCCAGCAAAGATTGCAGTTGGGGCACTGGCGGGGAGGGGAAGGAGGAGAGAGGCATCCTGATGGCGAGGCGATGGCACGCGCAGACCACCCAGCAGGAGCTGGGAGAGATGTAGCCAAGGCTTACAGTGGGCCCTGAGGTAGCGCTTAGCTGATGGCGGGGGGGGGGTGGTGAGGGGGGACGGGACACTGCAGCAGTCATTCTCACAATATACTGTAAAGAAAGCAAGCTCTGCCTTATGCAAACTCTCCTGAATGGAAACAGTTTCCCTTCCCTGTTTTATAAAGACTGTGTGTGTGTGTGTGTGTGAGAGAGAGGGGGGGGGGGGAGAAGAGAGATGTAGCTAAGGCTGGTCTCACACTTCCTATAGCAGAGCCTGGCTTTGAAGTTGGTTTTCTTGTCTCCACCTCCCAGGTGGTGGCATTCTGCATAGAAAAATGGGTCACTGACTGTTCACATGTAGGGAATAACATTACCAGGGACCTGTCATTTCAGAATACATTTCCTGAAATGTATTTTTTAGAGGGAGGTGTGTGGCCTATTCATACAGGGTTCACTGTAGTTCAGGGTAGTCTGAAAAATCACTGTGTAACTGAGGCTAGCCTCAAACTGGTGATCCTCCTGCCTCAGCCTCCCAAGTACGAGGAAGATAATTGGTACATGACATGAAGACTCTCACTGGATTCTTTTTTTCTTCCATTCCCTTAGGTTGTTTTTGGAGACAGTTTCAGTGTAGCCCTGAAAAAGTTTTATAGACCAGGCTGGCCTTGAACTCAGAGACTCACCTGCCTCTTCCTCCTGAGTGCTGAGATTAAAGGCGTGTGCCACCACCACCAAACTCCTACAGGACTCTTAAATGTCTCTTGGCCCCTCCTTTCTCCTTTTTCTTGTTCTTTTCTTCTCTACACCCTCCTCTTCCTTCTTTCTTCGTCTCCCCCTGTGAGTGTTGGAATTTCTACCTGGTAGGACAGCGTTGCATTGGAACAGGAACCACCTAGCATACCTCCTTACCTCTTTCAGAACCCTCTCTCCAAATATGACTACATTCCAATGTACTGAGTTAGAATTGGGGGAGGGAGGAGTCACATGGCAACAATAGGTGAGGATTAATTAAAGATTATTTGAAGGTAAAATTGGAAGAACAAAACAGTATAGAGGTGGGGGGGGGGGGCTCTGAGGTGATAATGGAAAATAGCATCAGATCATCAGGTCTCTCCCTGTAGATCCCTCATCCCCTGTGAGGACAGGGTCATCAGGTCTCGATTAACAAGTCTCCCTGTAGATCCCTCATGCTCTGTGAACACTGGGTCAACAGGTCTCTCCCTGTAGATCCCTCATGCTCTGTGAACACTGGGTCAACAGGTCTCTCCAGCTCTTGCGTCCTCCCGGTCTGCATAGCGCCAGACCTGTGCTTCCAGCATCTGTAGGGGTCAGGAGGGAGTGTTGGCCGCAGTGCACGCTGTGTCTGTTCCCCACCCACCCCCACCCCATCCCCTCCTTGCTAGCAGCATCCTAACCTGTAAGCCCCACATTCCAGAGATTTCCTAGATGGCAATGTGACACCCTAGGTTCAAGAGACTCATTCAACACTGACTCAACCTTGAGCTTTGGACCAGTAACACGTGCACTCTGTAGGGCCATACCTAGAGCAGGTAGCTCATGCTGGCCTCTCCTGTTGAAAGTCAGAAGCTCTAACGAGGCTGGAACTTTATACTTCCTTGGAGTGAATCTTAGCAATGCCATGATGATGCAAACAGATACCAAGTTGGAGCAGCTCCCTCCTTCGATTAGATTGTTTTTCTAGCTTGGCTCTGGCAGCTTATCTATTCAGCAGTTTGAGATCTATGCCAAGTAAACTTGATGTTAAGCTCTTCATGGGCTGAGACTTATGTGTCAGAACTTGGTCTTGGACCCAGGTGGCAGGTTCCCTGCCTGCACCTTCAAGCTGAAGGCTGAGAGCAGAGCTGTCTTTAGGGGTGTGTGTGTGCATGTGCACGTGTGTGAGGTGTATGCCAGTGTGTGCTCATGTATACGTGCATCCATGTATGTGCCAGTTCTTTGCAAGAAGAGATATTTACATGTTTGGCTTTTATTCAGAAGAAGAGATACATGTTTGGCGTTTATTCAGAATTTATCTTACTGAGGGCTAATTATATACTAGCTACTGTCAGTTGGATTTCAGGCATGGTTCCCGACTTTAGTTTCTAGCAGTAGCAGTGTGCAAGGCCCAAACGTTAAAAAAGAACAGTACCTAGTCGAGTATTGCTTTAACAGTCTAAGCATGTCTCTTAACAGTATTACCGTAACATGTGAGTTCCTGCCCTAACTTCCTTCAGTGATGAGCAGCAGCGCTCAAGTGTAAAAGACAAAAAAAAAAAAAAAAAAAAAAAAAAAAAACAAAACCTTTCCTCCCCAACATGATTTTTGGTCATGGCGTTTTTCGTCACAGCAATAGAAACCCTAACTAAGGCACCAGGGCAAACCTCTCTGGTTGTATGAAGGATACCTACGTGGGGTAGGATGGGAAGACCCACCTAAACCTGGGTGGTAACATTTCATGGACCGTGGGTTTGGACTGAGGAGAAAGCAAGCTGAGCACAGACACTTGTCTCTCTCCGTAAGTGTAGATGCATGTGACAGCTGCCCCTGCCATCACACCTTCCCTGGCATGACAACTGTGCCCTTCAACCACGAGCCAAAATAAGCCCTTCCAGCAAACAAGGAAAGTAACCCAGGGCTAATGAGCTCACCCATTTCTTTCGTTCATTCAGCAGACCAGTGCCTACCATGCTTAGAACAGAAGTTTGTGGTGAGCTGCTTGACTACCTCTGCGCTCTCTACGCCGCAGTGGAGGTTCGCTGGAGTACGCTGTATATACTGACTGTCTCTCAGCACACTCATCCATGCCCACTGTGTGAATGGCACTGGTGGAAGCCACCTGTAGACACTTCACAAATCGCTGTCATCCAGGCTGTCCCCAAACCATCCTGTTAACTCATTTTTCAGAATTGCCAAGAAAGCTTAGGCGACCCCAGTGAAGCCCTTCTACACCCAGACATGGGTGGGACAAAGATGGAGCTGCAGGAGGCAACCACACACCCCGACACTAAGAACGGCACAGCGCCTCCCAGCAAAGGAAGGGGGAGGAGGAGAATCGAAGTCCAAGAGGTATTTGTATTTCAGATGCTTTGAAAGCACTCCACTGAGATCTTATATGGAGTCCTAAGGTTATATTCCTGTGAGTTCTACAGGATCTTTCCCCGTTTATTCTGATTGTCTTCATAACTGGCTCAACTGTTCAGACAATTTGCCTTTGGATGTGTTTCTCAGCATGGGCCATAGTAGGTGTCAGTGTGTCAGGACAGTTTTTATTGTCACCTCTGCCTGCTGTGCCTTGGGAGCCCTAGGCCATAGGTTCCTCTTGGAGTAGACATGTGAAGAAGACAGGGCTCATCCTCAGTCATGCAAACCACTTCTGGTGGGAACTCTGCCAGGTCAACATATTGCTGTTTTGTTTTGGTCGCTCAGTAGATCAGGCTGGCCTCGAACTCAGAGATCTGCCCCCTAGTGCTGGGATTAAAGGTGTGCATGGTCATTCCTGGCCCCTCATCGCTTTAACTCTTCAATACTATGGGCTTTCCCATGACAGCCAGGGCATCACATCTATCTCTGTGACTCGTACAAAGCCACGTTACTTTACCATTAATGAATGTCAGGATATACATTCCTGTGCACCCACAAATGCTGATCTCCTACTTATGATCTGACACTTCCAATAAGAGGCAGCAGGTGAGGACCTGTGACTGTTTTCCCCTTTGAGCAAGAAAAATGTTTTAAGAGAAATGACAAACATAGGCTCACTTTATTAAACATAAGAAAATGAAAATGAATATAAAATTGATCATAAAAATAGAAACACTGATACAGGATTTCAGTTTCGCTTTAGTGTAGGATAGCTTTTTTAAATGTCTAAGAATATTTTTATGCCCTAACTTCTCAAATTATGTATTTTGTAATACATTAAATTTTTTATTTTTAGCCACATGCTGGTGGCACACACCTTTAATCCCAGCACTCCGGGAGCTATATCTCTTGAGTTCGAGGCCAGCCAGGGTTACACAGGGAACTTGAACTGAAATACTGTGTGCAGCTCTCAGGTCACATTACTGTGTGTAACTTGTGATGTGTGTGACGTGGTATATTCCTACTGTGAATTTTCTAAGGTGAATGAAAGCAGTGATGAGGAGCCCGAGAGACCTGCAGAGGCCTCTGTTGCCTCCCCGTCTGCCAAGGAGGGAGCTGGTGGTGGAGGGTCTGCAGAACACTCTGAAAAGCTTGAGGTCTCCAAGCCTAGCAACGCCTATGAGTTCGGACAGGTTCTCAACACTATCTGCACCAAGAAAGACGCAGAGGCCTGTGCACATCTGTTAGCCATAACCACACCCAAAGATTTGCCAGTGTTGCTAAGTAACAAATTGGAAGGGGACATGTTCCTCCTCTTCATTCAGTCCCTGAAGAGTCACCTCGTGGCCAAGGACCCCTCACTGGTGTACGAACATCTCTTGTACCTGAGCAAAACACAGAGGTTTAAGGTAGGCAGCCACACACTTGGCCTGGGAGGAGCCTGCACTTTGGGATCTCTGTGCTCACCAGTCTGTCCCTTTTCCAGATGACCCTGACACTAATTAACGAAGGCCAAAAGGAGCAGATGGCACAGCTGCTGGACAGCCTATCACCCGCGCCAGCCGATTGTTTTACTGTGGAGGATGTGCAGGCCCTAAGAAGGCAGTACGAGCTTTAACATGGATGCCAAGTTCCCGACACTCCTAGACAGCATTGCCAGAGTTACATGGGTAAAGCTACACCCAGTAGGACCTCTGCTTGGACTGTTGGACGTTGTACTTATTTTTATATCCAGAAATATATATGTATATATTCTACAAACTGGTTTTTGTTGTAAATATTCTGTCCTAGAGCCAACACCTTTATATTAAATAGTTATATTCGGAACTTGGCAAAATAGCATTATAATTTCTAGTTGTTTTAAAGTTAACTGTGGTGATTCTATCACCGATCTCCCTCAGATATGCACGCGCGTGCGCACGCGCACACAATCCACTTTAGAGGAGTGGCTTATTGTCAGCTGAGATGAAGTACAATACTTATTTCTATAAGATCATTACTAGTTTATTAATTTAGAGCCATGAGGAACTTGTTTTCTCTAATTTTTTCTAATATGAAAACAAACATTGCCTAATAAAATAAACCTGCCAAACATTCCAATCCTTTCTTACCGGGTGACTTTCCTTATACCTGGTTTGTAAGCAGTAACTTCAGCCTGCATTGGTAATATAGTCAGCCTGCCCCTTATTTCCCAAACATTCAAATGTCCCCACCCATTTTTTTGTCTTATACTTCATTGAGTATATGTATTTTTCCTTGACTGTAAAACAAAGTGAAAAGGTCACTGGATGCTCCCTTTCTGGGTTAAAGGTATTTCCTGTGCCATGAGCTTCTAGGCCTTTGAAAAGAAGGTGTGTTTGTTAATATGTGCGTGCCTGAGAGTCTGCATGTGTACCTACATCATCCATTCAGGACAGAGGCCAGCAGAGACCATTGGATCCTCTGGAATTGGAGTCAGAGATGACGTGAGCCTCTTGGTGAGTAAGTCCTTGGCAAAAGCAGCCGTCACCAGCTTCAACTCTGGTCTCAAGTGCTGCGCTTTCATTTACTTCTGTATTGCACAGGTACCTTTCAAAATCTGCTGTCTTTTTCTCAGACGGTGCTGTTTTTCTTGAAAACCTATTGCCATTAGTTCTAGTCCTTATGCAAATATGTATGTAACAGTAGATGATGGATCGTTGTATATACATACATGATGGCAGTCTCTTAAGATTGTATCATCTACTGATGTCAGAGATAACTTAGCTTGTTGAAGTACACGCCATGCTCATCACATATACACTTATCACAATTGCTTTCACCCACCTCTGTGAATGCTCTGCACATGCTTTTACATAGGGACACACTCACTCTCCAGACACGTGCTGGCGCTGGAGCTCTGGCCCTACCTCCTGGGACACAGTCCTGTGACAGCCCTCAGGTACAGCTGTTGATTCAGACGGCTCATTTCCAAAGTCACAGCAGAGAAGCTCCTGTCATAGAGAAGAAACTCTAACCCATTTGTGGAGTGCCTGCATAGTCATGTGGGAACCGGAACATTTCAAGAGCAGATAGCTGGAACTAACAGCTAGCCCACTGGCTGAGAGGCTACATCTGTAGTAAATAATTGATACAGAGGAGAACTATACTATGAGCCTCAGAATAAAGCACCAGTGCTGACAATCCTAAATGAACTGACAACCCGAAAAACCAACCAAAAACAATGACACCAAATATAAGCAATAAAAGTACCAATGGGGTCTTCAAGCGACCCGGGGATAATGGTGGAAATGCTAAGTCCATGAGAAATACCTGAGAAGGGGCTGGAGAGATGGCTCAGAGGTTAAAAGCCATAAGCTGCTTGCTCTGAGTTCAATTCCCAGCAACCACATGGTGGTTCACAGCCATTCGTAATGGGATCTGGTATGTATAAACATTCTGCCTCCATGTATAATAAAATCCTTAAAAAAAAATCTGAGAAGGATTAAATTGCTTTGATGCATAATTTCAGTGTCACAATAAAAACAACCCCTCACTGCCACCACACATGTAAGACTGGCAGGAAAGGAGCCAGGCACAACCCTGGCTGGCAAAGCAGCTTGACCACCGATCTTCCCTTAGGGTTTTAATAGTTTTAAGTACTCACTATTACTTTGTCTCGTTTAGGTCAGTACTTTAGGTCTATATAGTAGGAATGACTACTTCTTACAACTGAGTGATGTGTGTTGGGAGCTGGTAGAGTTTCAGTCCGGTCCACCCTGTGCTACACAAGGATTTACTAGAATGCCACAACAAAAAAAAAGTACTGGCAAGTGTGGAACTGGGCTCACACAGTGCTGCTGTTTAAACACTCAAGCCCAAGAAAACAAAATATATGCTCACATAAAAGCTCACAAAAATTCATAGGAACATTATCATTATAGTAAACAAGCAGGCATCGCTGAAGTGTCTGTCATCCACTGAGGTTGTGACCGGACGTTAGGGCCACACCAGAGGTTGCTATGCAACCATAAGAGGCATGGTGGAACCGTGCTGCCGGCGAGGTGTGGAATCAAAGCTGCACGAGGCAGGCAAACCTTGGCGAAATGTTCACAGGGCCAAATCCAGAAACTGAAGGCCAGTCTGTGGTTGTCAGGGACTAGGAAAAGGTAAGGGAGACTGATACTGGGTGATGAAAATGTCCTGGAATTAGTGATAATGGTTGTACAAACCCTTTGAATGGAGTAAAACCATTATATATATATGAGAGCTAGAGAGAGGCAGGCCTAGGTAGCTGAAAATGAGGTAAACCCAAGGATTCTCTAACCAATTCTAAAAGGCCAACAGTCTGCTCTTCCATTCCTATTTTACACTGTATTGGAGGTTGAACTCAGTCCAACAGGCCAAACGAGTTTACAAAAGACATCCAGACTAGAAAGGAGGAAGTAAAGCTTAAAGTATCTATAAAAAGTTATAGATATGACTATGTTGTATGGGTGATAAACCAATATATGAAAATCAACAATATGTTTGGAACAATAAAAAAAAAAAACAAAACACCCCCAAACCCTAGACTCATAGGGAAGGGCATGGTGACATATATACCTTTAGTCCCAGCACTAGAGGGAGAGGCAGGTGGATCTCTAAGTTGGAGGCTAGCCTGGTCTACAGAGCAAACTCCAGGTCAACCAAAGCTACATAGTGAGACCCTATCTCTAAAAACACCAATACATACATAAAAATACAACTAAAACTAAGACTGTAAGTACAATTTAAGGCACAGGAAGACTTTGCTCATGGCTAGAAGGTCTGAAGGTCACAGCCAAAACACACTGACAAGACATCTATATATGCCACACCCACAAAACTCAATAGCAAGGCATCACTAACAGCCTATATAGGTTTTTTTTTTTTAAAATAAAAATATTCACAATTTATATGTGGATTTTCCATTAGAATGAAATGAATGCGATTCCTCAAACAAAATTATTCAAGATTCAGGTATTTTTCTCCACCATGAGTTACAAGCAGGAAATGCCGTTTTCACTTTTTACAGGACATTACAGAGAGCTGCAGACTCCATGCAGGACTACCCCCCCCCCACACACACACTCCCCGTCAGAGCCCACAGAACTTGACAGTCCTCCTAAACTGTTTATGGAAATGTAAGAGGCCAACAATAGTCAAACCATTTCAAGAAAATTCCAATTCTAAGACTTACCTCTCAGTGTCCCACTAACTGATGAGTTTTTGTCCACAGGTTCCTTCTTAACTCTGAAGGACATGTATGCAGTTTTATTTACCTATTAACCAATGGCTATGAACAGAACAGAACTCGATGTGTGTCACTCAATATCAAGCACTATGTGAATACTAGCTCTTGGCAATGAGAGATATGTAAGACAAGGGCAATAAAAGCCATATAAATAAATGTATTCTTGGAATAGGTAAGGAATCAAAGGCAGAATAATTCACAGAGCAAGATTTCTTGTTTTGATCCTGTTGTATAGGGAAGTAGGGGGCAGCTTTTAATATAAACTTTACTTAATGTTTAACCTTTAGTGATCCAAGTCTCTACCTAGATAATATATACTGTCAAGTTTTAGATATGTATAAATTATCCCAATTTCCAGCACAAATTAGACTGGTAAACTATGAGCTGGGGTGGTGGTGCATGACTTTAATCCCAGCACTCAGGAGGCAGAGGCAGGTGAATCTTTGAGTTCAAGGCCAGCCTGGTCTACATAGCTAGTTCCAGGGCAGCCTGGGCTACACAGAAAAACCCTGTCTCAAACAAACAAAAAGACTGATAAATTATGCAAATTTAACAAAACAGATTTTGTGCCCTGAAGCTGAAAAATTGGTATATTCAAAGATCCCACCTAATACAACAGTCTATATGACCAACTATAAGGCATGTGATCTTTGCCTTAGTCCTCAAAAGGTTCGGTTTTAAAATAAATCTGCAGGGGCTGGAGCAATGCTAAGTGGCTCAGAGCACTGGCTGCTCTTCTCAGAGGGCCTGGTTTAAACCACAGCACCCACAAGATGGTTCACAGTGTCCATTCCACCGGGCAAGAGTAAGATCACTACCATAATTTTCAGCCAAATATGAAGTGAGCTTGGTTTTTATTGGGGTGCACACAAGAGCTAAGTCAGGTTAAAGAGAGCAGCCCCAAGTCCATTTCTTGGCCCCTTTTGAGGAATAAAATCACCAGTACTCAAAAAGCAACTTTGCAGAAGACAAACATTGGAGCAATAAGGAAATACAGAAAACCCAAACCAACCAACCAAACAAAAGACCAAAAAATGAAAACCAACCTACCTGTAACTCCAGTCCCAGGGGATGTGACACCCTCTTCTGGCCTCTGGCAGCACTGTATGAACAGGGTGCACAAACACACCTGTAGGCAAAACACTCCACTGCACGAAATAATAAAAGAGTGAAAATATCTCAGGGAATTAGGGCTGGTTTCCACTCGAACCCTAGAGGAATCTGATTTAAGTTTACTGTCCTACATGAATTAATCCAATCTGGACCTAGAGACAAGGGCACTTGTGAAGCTTATCCCCTGCAAGGTCTGGGTCAATGTCAATCTGAGACCCCAGAAGCCTCCCAGGACAGGCTTCCTGGTGTGCCGTGAGGACTACCTACATCAGGGTGACTAGTGAGAAGGCCCACCTTCACTATGGGTCTTCGTGGGCTGGGGGCCAGGAATGAGTAAAAAAGGAGAAAGCAGGGTGAAACCAAACTGGAAAAAACATACCTCGAGGGTTAAGGGTTCTGTCTACGATGAAAACAGTTAAGAATAAGTCTCTGGGTTGAAGAGATGGCTCAGCAGTTCTCAGCACCCACATGGCAGCTCACTGCTGTTAACTACAGTTCCAGGGGATCTGGCACCCTCACAAAGACATGAATGCAGACAAAACATGCATGAAATTTAAAAAGAAAAAGACTTAAGCGCCTGTTTGTACTATGTTTGACCCATCACATGTAGGTGGGAAGTACGTGGGGAGGAAGTATGTCAGGATGTGCACTTGCCCATGACTGGATGAAGGCAGGAAACACATCAGGGTACAAGCGAGCACCTGACTGGACCAGATGGGAAATACATTACCTTGTGGAATTGCCTCTATAAGCCTCGGCAAGATGTCACCATTTCCTGGGAACCCTGGAATAGACCTGACAAGTTACTTAATTAAAGCTTGCTTCAAAATTGGCTTTAAATTGTGGAAGTGGTCTTATTCTTGCCAGATGGGGTTTACACAAGCTGAGCTGTGGCTCTCACCACAAAGCTCTCCTGTGAGGAAAACAGATCAGCTACCTCAAGCTCTTGTTACGTTTTGGAACTGCCTTAAGGGCAGTTTGTCCCAGCAATAAGTCAAGCAAGTAGTACTGGGAGGCTCCGCCAGAGGAGGCACTGACATCTCATGACACCATTTTTGCTGCAGTCCTTAAAAGATAGCTGGCTTTCCCATCCCTTTTGCCTTCTAACATATTCACAAAGTCCATTCCTATATCGGCATTACAGTCTACTTCCTTGGGATTCTGGTGTATACTTAAGACCAACCGAGACCAAACAGCTCCTGGATTCTTGGACTTTCTGTTGGCAGACAGCCGTTGTTGGACTAGATGAACCACAGCCTGTAAGCCACGATAAATCTCCTTTCTATATACATACAAATTCATTCTATCAGTTCTGTCCCTCTAGAGAACTCCCACTAATACAGCAAAATGAGTATTGTATTCTTGTAAATTTTTCTGTGCACACACCAAATTCATTAGTATTTACATTTATTTCATATATGCTGTTTACACACTCATTACTGAACAAAACTGGAATGCAAACAAATATACAAATATCATAATAAGCATTACCAAATAAAATTAACTGGCACTAGTGTTATATAAGCAAAATTAATGGACGCAGTGAGGAAAATGACGGTAAGAGGCTGCAGCCCGGGACATTTTCTTTTTTTATCAAAAGAAAATGCTCAGTAGCACCATAATGGTAACACTTGAAAGAAAAACCTAAGTGGGTATCTGACTGCCATGAGGTTAGTCTGCCAGGACAGTTACGTGGAAAGTTAATAGCATAGGCAGTATTTTGGCCAACTTCTGCTTCTGTCAGCTGAATAGCCTCCATAAACAAAAGCAAAAGGAAACAAAGTCAGAGACCTTTTGTATAAACTTGGTGCAAGCTCTGAATTGCTTTGATTTTTCATGGTTTGAAAAGATACACACGTTAAAAATTGAGGTTATGTAACATTAAATTTACTAAAGCCTGAGTGTGTCTTTGGTAGGCGAATACTTTTTCAGCATAGTTAATAATCACATTCATGTTTATCTATTTTCTGTATTTTTCTATATATAATCCAAGGTGACTAGAGAAGACATTATGGGAAATGATACAGCAAAATCCTCAAATAACTAGGTTCGTATAACCCAGTCTCTCCCAAAGGCACCAAGAATCAAAGGGCACTAACTTTCCCTAGTGAAAGGTGACTTTTTGTGATACTTGTGTCCTAATGGAATTGTATTTTGTAGTTTTATGTCTTGTTTGTTGCTGTCAGTATACTTAAGTTACCTACTTTTACCTTTTTCTTCTAAAATGGCATCAACAATACACGAGACATGTTAACAGTACCAAGTATTTCTAGCTCAAAGTTGTGCAAAGACTGCCACAATCTTGCTCAAGTGTCTAAGTATCCAAATGGTTACCCATGGGCTGCATTAAGCTTTATGTCCACATTGCATGTGAAGAAAAATGAAATTTAAGCTCAGTTATGAAGAGAAATGTTACAAAGAAGATCATACACTGAGAAACCTGCCAAATTCTTCTAAACACAATTCCTTAGTGGTTTCAATAAAATGTCACTAACCACTTATCCCCCAGTCTCGATTTTCCTTCAGAATGCAGTAGAAGAGCGTTTAGTATCATATGATTATAAATTAAGCCAAATTTCTATCTAAATACACAGGTATGTGCATCAAGTAATGTTTTGTGACAAGAACACAAAACATGCTTTTTTTCTTAAGTTATTATTCTCATGATGATGCACTTTTAAAGCCTCCATTTCATACATTTGGTGATTAACATCCACACGAAACAACGCTCAGCTAAACATACAGAATGTATTTGCATTATGATTATGAAACCTGGCTTTTGCTGGTAACTTAACAGTCGTACATGGCTCAACCAGCTCCAAACATGGGCGTTGAGTGGTTATTACTCTGCAGCATCATGGGCCTAAATTTCAGTCTGAATAGCAACTTTCATGTCCACGGTCGGATGTGGGTGGTTGTTATTCGCTTCTTTTAGTGTGTCACCAAAGCACAGATCCCCACTCAGCTTCAGCCCACTTCTGCTGGTGCCATGCTCCTCTGCAGCAGGATTGGGCTGCGCAACTTCAGAACCGGAAGTGGGTTTGGAAAGCAGAGAACTGCTACACTGATGTGGTGAATTCTCCAGACGGTCATTTTCTACCTCAGGGAGGGTGTTCACAGTGGCAAAGCGGGCGTGACAATCACTGGAACCATGACTGCACGACGTTCTCATGCTTTCTAAGTCTGAGCAGCTAAACTCAGAAAAGTGACTAGAGTGGGAATCGGCTACAGAGGGCACACTGTCACTGAGGGACGGCGCCTCAAACTCACTTGAGTTCGTGCTTTGCTGCTCCAACAGCTGGGCATCCATGTCCTCTCTGGTCTCGTTTATCTTCATGGTGCCCTTTTTCCTCAGTTTACCACTTTTTGATTTTTTTCCTGCTGCTGCTTCTTTGGACCACTTGGCAGCAGATCTGCCTTCAGGCAATGCACTGGATGAGCCACCGCTGTGGCTTCGGGCGGCGCTGCCGTCCTCCACACTGCTGCTCCCACTGTTGTGCCGGAACTTGAATGGCTTTGACTCAATGTCCACTTGCACTTCCATACTGTTTCCTTCTCTGAAATGAGAGAGAGAGATAAGACGATTTCTCGCCTCACCTTTATCTCTGTTCACGACATCAAAGGGATAGGGCTTTTCTGTGAAAACACCAAAGCCTATGTAGAGAAGCTTGTTGGTTGGTTCAGTGCAGGTTACATTCTACCAACACAAAACTACATATAGGAGGACTGACTGTCTCTAGCCAGGCACCCGCGGTGCATGCCTTTAATTCTGGCACCTGGGAGGCAGAGGCAGGGGGATGTGTGTGAATGAGAGGCCACGCACGGTCTACAGGCCTAGTTCCAGGACAGCCAGGACTGTCTTTGTGCCCTTTCTGTTGTTGTTTTACTTTTATATGTAGCCCTGGCTGACTAGAACTCACTATGTAGACAAGGCTGGCCTTGAACTCAGAGATCTGCTTGTCTCTGCCTCCTGAGCACTGGAATTAAAGGCATGCACCACCATGAACAGCCCAAGAACACTGTCTTAATGTTTCAATTAAAATAAAAAGATTTATTATATTTTGTGTATTTATTTGTACCTGAGTGTATGTATGAGCAGTGCCATCAGAGGCCAGAAGAGGGCATCAGGATCCCCCAGAACTGGAGCTACAGGTAGATGTGCGCCACCTACAGTGGGCACAGAACTGGACCCAGGTCTTCCAGATAAGGAACAAGTACTCAACTACTGAGCCTTCTTTACAGCTTCTTAATGCTTCAAGCTTTAAAAAGGAGCAGGGACATTTACTGCTTTTCTGTTCTGGGCACGGCCATCACATAACCTAACTTCACAACATTGTTCATTATTTACCAACCTGACCCTATACTAATTACAAGTTAGCCCCCGGCTCTTAGCAACCATAGATGGATTTCCTACCTAGATGGGTTTGCTCCTTTGAGCATTTCACTGTTCTCCTGGAACTGTGCCTAGTGGGTGGTGGGATAATTCCTTTTAAATGAATTTAAAAGCACTTCTATTCTTACAGGAAGTTCTTCCTTACCTGTCCAGAGGGATGTAGGAATTCAGAATGGATCCCGCCATTGCTTTGGTGCTGGCATTATCACTAACTGTTCCCAAGCTCACGGTGCCGGATTCTCCACTTAGACTGTACCGTTCTTTCTGTACATCTGCTTGTACCTCCAACCTTAAAGAGGGGGGCATCACACACACCCAATCATTTCTAGTTCAGCAATCATAGTACATATCTTTAATTCAGTTAAAAACCTCAGTGATGAAAATTTATTTTAGACACCAGGTTTTCAGTTCTCACTTATCTTATTATCCAGATTATACTGTGGGGTACTGAATAACATCCAAGAGAAATCAAAAGAACACTACCCAAAGGAAAAACAAACGAATCAGATCTGAATGATCTCCATTATACTTTCCCTAGCATGCAGTCTTGTCATGCTTCAATAAAAAATACAAAGTCAGAATTATTAACCAATAAACATAACAGATCAATTAGTAAGTATAAACCCCTCTATTAACTGGGTGCAGTGGTAAATGTCTTTAATCTCAGCCCTCAGGAGACACAGGCAGGCTGGTCACTATGAGTCTGAGGCTAGCCTGGCCTATATGGTGAGTTCCAGGCTAGTTGTGCCTGGCTTCTGCTACTGGTATTGTATCTAATTATAAAATAGTTCCAGGAATGAAGTAAGAATGATTACTCATTTTCCTGCCTTAAACTCCTACAAGATTTCAGAAAGGATATTAGATCATACAAACTACAAATCACACTTATCTCAAATAATAATGAAAAAAAAAAATCCTAAAAAGGCTTTTACTAAACAACTTCAGTCCACATCTGATTTTGTAATAGGAGGTAACAATATATACCACCACAATGTAGTTTCTGTCCAACTACCTAAAATGTCTTTTTATTCATCTACCTTCCTCCACGTAAAAAAGCTAACACACAGAATAGTGAAAAAGAAAAATAAACCACGATAAGATAAATGTTAATTTCTCCTCATCTCCATGGATATCAGTAAACAGAAGCAAGGTCTAGGCTAAGCATGGCCTTTATGTCAGTGTACACAAGCACAGATCCAGTATCATTTATCAGATTAACTTCATCAAGTGCAGTGTTATTCATTCTAACACAAATACCAAATGTGGCACTTTTTCACCTTAGGGTAATTATCATGCTTTGTATTCAGATTTTTCATCTAATTAATGTCTTGTATTTAACAAACCAAACCAAACAGCTATTTATTACCTGTTGAAACAATTTACCATGGTGCTTCCCGACAGACTTCCCGTTATGCTAGCTCCAGCTAGTGCCATGGTGCTAGCTGTTTCACTCAAGTTGTCTCTAATGGTGCCTATTCGATCCATGTGGCTTCCGCTTGCACTCAAGCTGCCAGTCAGACCACCAACGCTCCCCTCTCCTATGCTTGGGTTGTGCCTGGCTTCCGCAACTGATGTTGTATCTAAATGTAAAATAATTCCAGAAATGAAGTGAGAATGATTAGTCATGTTCCTGCCTAAACTCCTACATGATTTCAGAAAGGCTGTCAGACCACACTCATGATTAGGAAAAAAGAGGGCCATTTCATTTCAGGGTGTACCGCTCAATCTGGGACTGGCCCTAGATTTAAGATGGTCATTATTTGTTGTTGTTAAGCCCAGCAGATTTAGGGATTTTAAACGACTAAATGATCTGGAAGGCCTCCCTCGCCAGCACTAGGTTCCAGTGAGAGATTCTATTATCTAGATCAATAAGAATGGGACAAAAGTTGATTCTAGATGTAGTTCACAGTTCTAATTGTCTATAAACTACTACAAGATGTGATAGGATTCAATTCTAATTTTACAGTACTATTCACATGCTCCACATTGAGAAATGCACTTACTTATGCCAGTATTTGAGTTCCTATTACATATCCAATCATGTGACAAAAGCTATGGAAAACACAGCAGAGGGGAAAGAGAGGGGGGTGACGACAGTGTGCATGTCACCCCTGGACACTGCTTTAGAACATGGCCAAGGAAGGCCTCCCATAAGTCCACTGTAAGAGACTCAAAGGCAGTGAACATGGGAGTCATTAAATTATTCCAAAGAAGAGTATTCCAGGTAGAGGTAACCACAAGTTTAAAAATCCAACAAGAGGAGTATTAACTGTCACCTTCAAGGAGAGGTGGTATGGGACAGTCAGGGCAGAGCATGAGAGCACTGAACACCTCACTCCCCACGGAGACAATCAAGAGATCTCAGAGAAGGTGCACAGAGGGTACCAAAGGGCTTCACTCTTAGACACTGACCTGAGAAAACACATGTGACAAAATCCACTGGGTACAGGACAAGTGCTATTTAAGCAAGCTGATTGCTGGCCCACTGACATGTCTACTGGCAGTGTGTGAAGTCTTTGAGCTTTCTGCCCACTACAGTTCTATTTGTATGCCTTTGAATGATATGAACGATGTTTTCGATTTCTTGACCATTTGTAATTCTTTTAACTGCATTGCTCTTCATATCCTTTTCATACTGCTTCATGTATTAAGTAAAATCCCATATGAAAAGGTTCTAATTCCCAATGTACCCTCAGTAAGAGGTGAGTACCCAGAGCCACTCCCTTGCTCTCACGCATGCCTCTGCCCTGCATGGCTCCTTTCACAGCTATGCTTCTGGATGACAACGACAAGGCTGTCAGACATTTACCCAGCACATCTGAGGTAGAGCGAGCCTTGTCTACACACCAAAGTTCAGGCCAGACAAGGCTACACAGTGAGACCCTGGCTCAGAGCGGAAAGACAGAAGAGGAGGGAGGAAGAGGTGTGAGCCAGGATGAACACAACAAGGCCTAGTAAAAGGCAGGCAGTGGAAATTCACACACACGTTTCTTCCTCTGTTTAAAGGACTTACCTATAGCTGTGTTAGTTCCACCAACATTTATGTCATTTTCATCATCAAATTCAATTCTGACTCCTTTCCCATTGCCCGCTGAAACTCCACAACCCCCACTTCGGCAGAGGGATATTGGAACAACACCATAAACATAAGCTAACATAATGGGAACACCAATGCCTAAAAGGGAATTAAATCACATATTAGAAACCAAAAACTAAATCTCAGGAACATGAGGTGTAGGTCTTCTTAGGAGAAGGATTTGGCTGGGACACAAGCAAATGCAACATTCCCAGGTGGCCCTCAGGTAACACAGAGGGAAAGACAGACTGAACTGCACTCAACTAGAGGGAGGGGCTATCCACCAGCCATCCTAACAACAGGTTCTTGGGGATTGAACCTAGGGCCTTAATTGTATGTCTGAGGCAAGCACCGTACCTCTGAGCTACAGTCCCAGCCTAAAACCAGGTTCTTGAGTTGACAGCACTTTTAATGAAGTTACTTGAGAAACCTCTTGTAGGTTTTACTTAAACAACTCTTCATTTTAAAAGTAATCCTCTTAGCAACATTAGTAACTAAAAACCCCTCTTCTGTCCACTTCCTGAGATCTGAGGTAATGTTTTAAAGCATGCTCTTACCTACAGTCACTGCAGCTACCACTGGAGAGACAATTACAGAGAGTGTCACTCCGCCTGCTATGGCCAGATTCCGCTTGTGTTTTGAAACATCTTTGCCTTCATAGCGATTATGAATCTTAAATTTAAAAGGGAATAGAAGTTTAGAGAAGAAAAACATTACACATTTGGTTTAGATAAGACAGTCCTACATGTGCAAGAGAACCAAAGGATTTCACACACAATTTCAGCTCAACACCTTAATTCAAACTCACCAGTGTCACAAACTGCTCCTTATTACAGACCTGCTTCTAGGAGGTGACGGGGGCTCAGGAGATTTAGTCTGTGTCACAAGTTCAACATTACCCTTGTGTACATTGCTAATTCAAAGATGGCCCATGCCATGAGACTCCATCTCAGAAAAAAATACGAGAGTTCCACAGATTTCTTTCCAAATAAGATTCCCTAAACTAGCCCCAGCTTTTATCTCTAAAAAGGCACTGTATAAAACAAGTATCACTTAAGTACAACTTTTCTCCATACACCTTTTCATGAGAGAAAACTATTAACAGATGACTCAAAATCAGTTTAAAAAGATAAAGACAAAGTGGATACCAGAGAATAGGCGTTAAATCTACTTAGCATCATTGTACAATCCACATTAATAAAATCATTGCTATAAAAGTAGCTTATGAATTATTAAATAAAACTGGGAAATAGTTTAGTAGCTTTGTTCTTGGGCACTGCAAGAGTCAAACTGAGGAAGGGCATTTTCCCATGTGTCCAAAGACATCCAGTGAGCAGCTTCCAAACCATACAGCTAGTCTAGTCTCTAAGATTTCTATGCTCTTTTTCCTGTAACTCCTTTTCAGCCCATTCCTGGGCACAGTCCTGCAGCAGAACAAAGCCAAGTTTACACATACATAGGGTAGGTCTGTAAGGACAGGCTGTCAAGGGAACCAGGCGAATCAATCCTCCATCAACCTTTGCTCCCACCCCAATCCCTTCTCTCTCTGAGACAGGACCATATGTATGTATGTATGTATGTATGTATGTATGTATGTATGTACACACACACACACACAGATGGGGGGGAAGGAGGCAGGAGAGAGTGCAGGCTGCCCCCCTCCCCAGTACTGAGATTATAGATGTACACACACAAGCCTATAAACTCTGTCATCTTTACCCACCAGTATGGAATAACAGTGACCACATCATCCTATTACTTTTGGTTCAACCTAACCGTTTCTGTTTGATGCTTTCCTTCCAGCTTCTTTCATTTTTCAAACTTTATTATGTGTGCATGGGTGTTTTACCTGAATGTATATCTGCTCCATGTGTGTGTGCTGAGGCCTAGGAGGCCAGAAGAAAGCATCAGATCCTGTGGGACTAGAGTTACAGATGGTCTCTCCCTTAGACCTCCAAACCTCAGTTCCTTAAGAACTGGTTTCAAGTAGCTCAGGCTTAACTCAACTCACCCAGTAGCCAAGGACGACCTTCTGGTCCTTGTGCCTCTCCCTCACAACTGCTGGGTTATAGGCATGCCTAGCTTGTTATTCTTGCAACATTTCCTACTTTTTATTGCAACTAAAAGCTCAGTTTTCAGGCATTTTCTTGACTTACTAGTTTTTCTGAGCTGATGCAGATCCCAAATATCACAGAAAATTAAAGAAAACTAATCCATCAATTTGCTCTTTAGGTGCCTGTGCAAACAACAACAAACACAGACTGGCTGGCTTATGATCTGCTGCCAGCCTGCTTTAGCTTCCAGAGTACTGGGTGGCAGGCTGACTATTACTCTAAATTCATTGTCAATTCTGCTTCTAAGTACCTGAGCAAATAGTTCTACTTTCGATAAAAACCTTTTTGGCACTTTAATACACATACATGCACGCACGCACGCACGCACAAAATTTTAAAATCAGTTTTTGTCCTGCTTTTCCTCAACTTGACACAGCTAGAGTTATTTGGGAATAAGGAACCTCCTTAACAGAGAAAATGCCACACTAAGCCAGGTGTGGTAGCACATGACTTTAATCCCAGCACTGGGGAGGCAGAGGCAGGCAATCTCAGGGTTTGATGCCAGCCTGGTCTACAGAGGAGGGGGCCACACAGAGAAACTGTCTGGGAAAATTTAAATAAAAATAAAATTTAAGAAAGGAAGGAGAAGAAAATGCCCACACTAGATTGGCCCGTGGGTGCTGACGGGCATGTTCTTGATGAATGACTGACGTAGGGGGTCCCAGCCCATTGTAGGTGGTGTCACCACTAGGTTGTACAAGAAAGAAGCCAGTAAGCAGAGTTTCTCCAAGGAATGTGCTTCAATTCCTGCCGTTAGATCCTGTCCTGACTTCTTTCCATGACTGACTACAATGAGAAAAGTTAAACCAAATAAACCCCTTTCTTGGCAAGCTGTTTTGATCATAGTGTTTTACTTAATCACAGCAACAGTTTATATCAGAGTTAATTTTCTTTGTAGAGCTGAGAATCACAGCCAGACCCTTGCGCCAGGCTGTGCAAGTGCTCCTGCGCCAGGCTGTGCAAGTGCTCCTGCGCCAGGCTGTGCAAGTTCTCCTGCGCCAGACTGTGTAAGTGCTCCTCCACCCGCCAGGCTGTGCAAGTGCTCCTCCACCCGCCAGGCTGTGTAAGTGCTCCTGCGCCAGACTGTGTAAGTGCTCCTCCACCCACCAGGCTGTGCAAGTGCTCCTGCACCAGGCTGTGCAAGTGCTCCTCTGCCAGGCTGTGTAAGTGCTCCTGTGCCAGACTGTGTAAGTGCTCCTCCACCCACCAGGCTGTGCAAGTGCTCCTGCACCAGGCTGTGGCCCTAACTCACTGGGTTTAGAGGTTAACTTTAAGACTCTTCTGAAATAAACAATTAACAGAAGTCTCTGGTTCCTCAGCAGCCACCAAACCAGTTTTGTTGTTTTGTTTTGTTTTTGTGCTGTCTGGGATCTAGTGTAGAACCTCCTACAAGTAGTTAAGCAGCTACCAAGAAGCTATAAGCCTTTCTATCAAAACTAATTAATAATATTTTTGTTTTTAGATGATATTTTCAGAGCTAGAGGAAATGGCTCAGTAGTTAACAGTACATGGTGCTGCTCTTGCAAAGAACTGAGTCTGACTCCCAGCACCTACATGGCAGGCAGCTCACAACTGTCTGTAACTCTAACTCTAAACCAGGGTTCTCAACCCTCCTAATGTTGCTACCCTTAATACAGTTCCTCATGTTGTGGTGACCCCAACCATAAAATTATTTTTGTTGCTACATTGTAACTGTAATTTTGTCATGGCCCACAGACTGAGACCGCTGTTGTGGGTGATCTGATGCCATCTTCTGGCCTCTGCAAGCACCAGGTTCACATGGTACACAGGGACACATGCAGGCAAACACTCATGTCCATGAAATAAACACAGCTGTCTATGGAAGAGGAAGGTTCTTACCCTGAGATTAGTAGCACAGCTCAGAAACACAATTAAAGGACACAAAGAGAGACTGTATTGTCTAACAACAGTGGCCATGTGACAACAGTATGGGCTTCCTCTCTTGAGTTGGTGCTTTCTCCAGGACTGAGTAACCCAACTAACTGGCTAGACTAAAATCTATGAGGGACTTCATATACAGAATCTGTTCTCCTGGGCCCAAATCCCTTTTCTAAACCGCAGTGTGAGGCTGGCAGGATGGTTCAGAGGGTAGCAGTCTTTGATGTCAAGCCTGAGTGCGACCTTGGAACAAGACAATGAAAGCAGACATTGATTCCAGCAAGCTGTCCTCTGACCTCTGAGACTCATGTACTCACACACCTACCATAAAGCAAGTAAATGAAAACCTCATTATTTTATCACATGGATTAGAGGTTAGAATACCTAGGGTACTATTAAAACAGTAGGATTAATCAGTGGCTGGATGTGGGGAAACATGCTTTACCTTTAGAAGGCAGGCGCAGGCCAATGCCTATCTCTGTTAGTTCCATGCTAGCCAGGGCTACACAGTGACTTTACAGAGAGACTCCCCCTGTCTCCCAAAAAAGACTAATGCAGGTCTGTAAATCGCCTGCCATAAGGTCTGGGCTCTTCACTACTGATTCTCTATGAGAAGCTGTTCTCTTTGTTCTGACTGTGTTAGGATCACATACTTTCTTGACATCTAATTAATTTAATTTAGATGGCAACAGGGTACTTAGTACTTCATAAATTATCCCATTAGCTCTCCAAATAAGTTACCCGCTTAGCTAATGGTGTAAGATGACAGGGATTAGCAAATGTTGGTGTTTGGATTTCCACAAAAGACTGTTATAACTTGTAACTGTATTCATAAACAGCAGTAATATAATGAAGGTGGAAAAGCTTTGAACTGAAGAGTAAAGACTTAAAGAACTGGTTAATTATTCTTTGCTCGAGGGCATGTGTTATTTAGTCATGAATTTCTATCTTAAAGATCTCACAGAAATAACTTTAAAAGTATATATCCAAGAGAAAAACAGTGTCAATTATCCTTCAAAACTGTAGTGCGGACTGTAATCATTTAAAGAAGGTTGCCTTTTATGCACATATATTTGCTTGCCAAACACTTTACTGTACAATAGAATTTTGTTAGTTTACTTATTTGTCTATTTTTGAGACACATGGGCTGGCTTCAAACTTGCTGTATACCAAAGATGGCTTTGAACTTCTGATCCTTCTGCCTCCACTGCCTGTGCAGATTACAGATATGGGACACTACACCCAGTTTATGGAGTACTGGGAATCAAATCCAGGACTTCCGCCATGGGAAAAAAAAATTACCAACAGAATTACATCCATAGCCCAAAGCTGATGATGGAGAAACTGAAAGCAACTTCTGTATTAAAAATATAGCAAAGACACTTCAGTTCTAAGAAGACACACCAACAACGAAGATGAAAGGGCTTACCTTGCGGCCCACGTACACAGGAATGCCAATGATCATGGCAGGAATAGCAATGCCAGCTATCAGAGCAATCCCTACAGGAGCGCCAACAAGTGTTCCCAGCTGCCACAGTATTTTCTTCTTTCTGCTCCAGGGTTTCTTCCCCCAAAAAGTACAACCTGACGGACTGAGAAGAAAAAAATTATATAATAATGGCTGGGAAACAGTACAAGTAACTACAAGACAGCAAAGCAATAACTACAGACAGGAATGGCTCTCATACTTACTTAACCACCCCCTTCCTTTTCATATTTTAGGTTCATTTAAAAGCCAAAAGATTAAAGAAAGATCCACTTTAAGTTACATAAACAGATCCACTTTAAGTTACATGAACAGGATATTGCTAATTATGATTTAAAATTTATCCACAGTTCTCCATGACCTTCAAAACCTAAGTTTCTGAATACTACACTGATAAGGTATGTTTATTTTATCTCCATTTTAGACACAACATTATGTAAATACATTATAAATTCACTTTGGGGCCTAAATGAGAAAATTCATTTATAAGAAAATTAAGAGCTGGGTTAATTGCATAGAGTAGCAAATATTAGCACTAAAGTTCAACAAACAATAACATTGTAAAAACAAAGGAACCTTTATTTCCTATACTTGACTTTTTATTAAGTATAACTTGGTAGCTTTCAAACTTATATAAATAGCTTATAAATATCAGGAATAAAAATACTTAGGTGTGGTGCCTTAAAACAAAATTGCCCCCAATGGGAGATACACTATTAGGAGATGTGGCCTTGTTGGAGTAAGTGTGTCACTGTGGGGGCGGACTTTGAGGTTTGAAATGCTCAAGCTTCCCTCAGTGTGACAGCCAGTCCACTTCCTGTTGCCGGCAAGATGAAGCTCTCTCAGCTCCAGCCCCACAGCTGCCTGCATGCAGCCATGCTCCCTGTCATGTTCATAATGGACTGAACCTCTGAAACTAGAAGGACTCACCCCAATTAAATATTTTCTTTGTAAGAGTTGCAGTGGTCATGGTGTCTCTTCACAGCAATAAAAACCCAACTAGGACATACTGTTTTCAAAACAAGGTCTCTGATATATGATGTAAAGTCTATTCATACATAAACAGTTCTTTTCATAAGCTTACCTTAGATAATGTAAATCGGAAATTTCTTTCATACACAACCAACAAAACTCACAGCCACAGACAGCACATGTCATGTGATTGCAACTCCCATCATTCATCTTTATTATATAAGCAGCACATCGTGGGCACGGCTTTATATCATCAGCTATGAGGAACACAGACAAGAAAACAAAATGTATAGAAACTGGTTTCCAGGAGATTCGCAGCTCAACACTGCCCAAACAAATCTTTGCAATTTCATTCTTTAAGTGGCAATTTTAGCCTGCTCTTTTTAGTTTTTAAGAAAAAAAAATCATTCTTTCTTCCCTTCTAAGGAAATATACTTTATACTAAATTTTCAGTTTGTTACGTTTTCAAACATGATAGCAAAGCAATGAGAATCAAGATTAATAAACGACCCAGGAGGAGTTCAGAAGCCTGGATGCTGGCTGTCCTATATAGTGAAGAGGCACCACCAGGAAGTGATCACTTCACAGTCACCTAAGGCACTGCACACAAACACTCCCATTTCTATTCTAGTAACACCAGCTAAGAACACTGTAGATCACAGAGAACAACCTTAAGAGTAAATGTAACCATCCTTATCCTCGTGACTGCTAGTAAGCAGTCTCCATCTTTTCTGTTCATTTATTCAAGCGTTGTTGGTGCAACTGCATGTACACTAATGCATTATAAAATGCACAGCAGTGCCAAGTTAAATATGCCATAGTGTCAACAAAGGGTAAGAGGTATACCACCATTCTGAACTCTAGCTGTTCTTTAAATAACAGCCTGCAGTTAATTAACAGTTATCATTAACCAGCTATACTGTCTATCTATCTGCTGTTTAGAACATGTATTTACAACACTAACCACTGAATTCAAGTATTTGTTCCATGTTATTACTTTATAATATTAAGCTAATATTCTATTTTCCTTTCTAAAAGCTTTATTCCCACTGTTCAACTACTTTATCAATGAATTCAAGTTTCCTTATAGTGCTTTTGAAAGGCTAAAGCTGTCTATAACTGAAGAATTAGTAAGGCTAACATTCAGTGTTTTAACAGTTCAAACTATTCTGAGCAAAGCAACAGCTCCAAGCAGTGTAAGACAAAGATAGGTGATTGTTTCTAGAATATAAAAAGTAAATGTATTCATAAATAATGATTTAAATGACCCAAAGAATACAACACTTGCATTATAAATTTTAAACATAGGGTAGACAAGAAAAAAAGCTAGCTTTTATACCTATCAAAAGAAATACTAACCTTGTGTCTCTTTAAGAAGCAGCATACACAAAATTGTAAGCTTTATAGTAAAACACGATTTTTAGATGTTTTGAGGGTGGGACAACTCTAATGCATAGTTCCAGGGTGTGAACTTTGTAGAAAACAATCTGTGTCACACACTATTGGAAAGCTGGACACATGCCCGAACCAAAACCCCCGATTTACCTCCATGGTATCACTAGTTTTATTTAGCTTTATAAGAATTTTGGTTATCTTAAAAAGATAACCAAATTCAAGTCAAATTGATACTACTTTTGCAGAATTTGCTAGTTATGTCAGCAAGGCCATCCAGTATATACACTGGACTATAAACACTCTCCCATGGTGACTACTTGGAGGAAGCCGAATACTTGTTTAGACAACTAAGTTGTAATGTTCATTTAAAAAAAATTACAAAAGCCATTTCAATGTCCCTTCTTGATTTAATAATGGTTTGCACAAGCTCAAATATCTTGTAGATTTCTGGGGGTGTTTCCATATCTAACTAACATTGTAAGATCATGTATGGGGAGAACTATTGCAGCCCTATGGACATAAGCACTGTGTCTTCACTTTTAGGATGAGACAAGTGCCTTGCTCAGGTCACACAAAGGAAGAGAATATGGACCTTAAATTCAGTCCATTCTGGATCCCAAATCTGGTTCTGGGGTCCATTTCTATTACTCTGCATGCCTGTGCATCCTCAAGGGAAACAGCTAATGGCTACTGCCAACTCTCCAGAAACAGGCCCTCCATTAAAGCCCTCTGGGTCCTTAGCTACAATTATTATAATTATTGCTAACAACCTTCGTATTCTACCCCAAATCTTTAGGAGAAGAAACAGAAACAAGCCAGTAAGCAGGTAAGAATGAAGACCCAGGTGTATTAAATGAAATATGAAACCTGAGTTTATTACATGAAATATGAAACCCAGGCATGTTATATGAAATATTAAACCCATATCAAAACTGAAAAGACTTTCTCAAGCAGGGTGAAGTACATGACAGGCTCCCCCCCCTTTTTTTTAACATAAATTTCTATATTTTTACCTTTTTTTCTGTTGTAACTATCAAAACAAAAAACGTTCTAAGGATTAAAATTCCAATAAACAAAGGAAATTCTGTTAACAATTTTTTTACTTTTTTTTAACTATTCAAAGAACATTAAGATATCTGAGATTTTAAAAGATTTTAAACTTTTTAATTTTGTGATATATGAGATACAAGTTTACAAATAGATTCCTAGGTAATTTTTAATTTCCTCCCCAAAGATACCTTGAAGCACTTTGTGTGTCTTCCTAAGTATGATTTTTACCCTTAATCCTAGATTAAATATATCTGAAATTTCACAAAATAATTAAATGAAAAGATTAAACTTTTAATTGTGTGGTCTTTATACAGAAAGAAGTAATTGTACATTGGTAATACATTTCAAATTATTTTATTAAGTGTATTTATAAGTTTTGTATATCATGGATTTATGAATAATAGATGCAGACTATATCCAGTGGTCTAGTACATAGTCAGGCAGTTTTCTTTGTTGTCATTGACAATAAAACCTCTCCAAGCTCAGAACCACTTTATTTATTAAACAAAGATACATAAAACACTTTTTACCTGTAAAGGGTAAATAAAGTAATTAAAGATAATGAATATTAAGTTAAAAATCACAAAGCAATCTCTATTTTTAGAGAAAAAATAACTTATTTTTAAAAATCAGATAGGGCCTGCAGGTGGCTCAGTGAGGAAAGCACCTGCTTCCAGAGCATAAGGAAGGACCCGAGTTTGAATCCCCAGAACCCACACACAGCAGGTCACAGGAGTGCACACAAGTGCAATCCCAGTGCTCCTGTGGTGAGATGGAAGGCAAGGACAGGGGATTCCTGGAAGGTCACAGGCCAGCTAGCCTGATATCACAGCAGAAAAAGCAAGACACCTTGTCGCAGACAATCAAAAGGTGAGTGAGGATCATGATCTCCACTCATTTGCCCACCTTCACACACACGCACACAAACAGTATACAAATAAAAAAAACTACCTGCTGCTCCAGACTCCTGGCTGTAGCTAATGGAGGAAGAGCGTATTGTTCTCAAGCGTAAACTCTGGGCTCTCTCCTGCCGAGCAGCATCACAGGTCTGGTTTGGATGCCAGATCTGTTTACAGTGGTAGCAAAACTCTGTCCCACAGCCTTCTCGTCCACAGGTTAATTTTGGACAGCTGGCACATCCAAATGCTATCACAGCATATCTTGAAAGAACAAGGAAAATGATTTAAAATGTAACACAAACCATGATCAAGTCAGTAAAAACTTAGGAAACATCCAATTAAATGCTATTCAGAAAATATTGGTCAGATATGCATTAATAAATATTATAAACCCTAACCCAATCTCACCAATGTGAGAATAAGAGAAAAATGAGTCAATAAATACCTTTTAAAAAAATCTAAATTCTTTACTTTCAAATTTTAGCCAATGTGAGTGTGCATGTCTTCAATCCCAGCGCTCAGAGGCAGAGGCAGGTGGATCTCTGTGAGTTCAAGGCCACCCTGGGCTACAAAGCCAGTTCTAGGCTAGCCAGAGCTATGTGGGAAGAACATCTCCAACAAAACAATGTCACATAATAATTTAATAAAAATACTTTTATTTGAAATAAAATTGGGTGATTGGGGCCAAATAAAAGACGAGGAGTACATTAATGACTAGTCTTTAATGCCCATTCTCGGAGTAAATAATCTTGACACTTTATAACTATTTAAACTTAAATCTGGATACTGTTAGACATCTGTCCCAGAAAAACTGGACTTTCTTCTCATCAACTTTCATAGCAGATGTATTCATAATAGTCCCAACTGGAAAAAGCCCAGCTGTCCATTAACAAGCAAATGGTTACACTATGGTGCTTACATGCACAAAGCAGAATACTACTCAAGAATCAAATGAATGAATGACACAAGTTACAAGATGAAAAAAATCTCTTAGGGAATTACACTGGTTTAAAAAAGGCCAATTTTAGAATGTTACAAACTACCTGCCTCTTATGTGAAACACTTGAAATTACAAGGTTTTAGAAATGGAAACTAGGTTAATGACTTGCCAGGTTCAAGGAAAAAGTGGAAGGGATGTACACCATTGCTAGAAAATGACATGGGGGATGATTGTCCTTAATTGTTTTAAATTTCAGACAGTATCTTGATAAATTGCTGCCTCTGAACTTGCTATTAGTCAGGCAGAACTTGAACTTGTGATGATTCCTCAGCCTCTTCGGTTAGCTGGTACTGTAAGTCATGAAGGGCTGGCTGTAACTGGCAACATGAAAAATTGAGATATCCGTGACTGTGATGGTAAGCACACAAGCCTACACCTGATAAAAATCCACCACACATGAATGAGCTAGATACATGTAAAAGGGAATCTGAGTAAAGCTAGTAGACTGCGTGTGGTGACTTGAACGGTACATACTCCCCAAAGCCCATAGTCTCGGGCTTTGAATCTTTAGTTCCCAGTTTGGGGTATTGTTTGGGTAGGATGAGGATGTGTGGTCTTGCTGAAGGAAGCACGTCACTGGGCGGTGGGCTTTAAGGTTTCAAAAGCCATGGCGCACGTCGTACCATTCCTATTTTGCTCCTCTGCTTGCCGCTTGCAATCTGAGATGCCAGTCTCAGCTGTTCCTTCCTCCAAGACTGCCCGCTGCCTGCTTCCCCACTATGACAGTGACGTCTCATCCCTGCACGGTGCTTTATCATAGCAACAGAAAAGTACCTAATACAGTCTATGGCAATACCCTTATACAGCAGCAGTGACAACCATGCTACTCCTATTAAGTCCACATACACACAATTACACAGAAGAACTGTCAACATCTACAGCTTTCTAACTCTCTTTGAAAGCAGCATCAAATAAATTTAAATTTTGGGTTTGTTTGTTTTTAAAACATCAAGCATTTCCTGGAAATTTAGGAGAGTTTTTGGTGTTCTTATTACTAGCAATAAAATTCAAGTAGCAATCATAAGATCGGATTTCAAGACCATTTGCATGATTGTGCAAGACTTTAAGAAGCAGGGCATTCCTTCCTTTCTGGTTTACTACTTCCTTAAGCATCCCAGCCTTCAAACTTAAACTTTGCGCCTTGAATTCTATTTTGTTTCTGGAAGAATTTACATTAAAATAGTATAGAACTGACGGCAATTTAAATCAAAACAGTAATTTAACAGAATTTCACTTCCTTGGGTTTTAAGATAACCAAGGAGGGGCTAGAGAGATGGCTCAGCATTTAAGAGTACTGGCTGTCCTTACAGAGGACTGGATTAGACTCACAGCACCCACATGGCGGTTCATAACTCTAACTCCAGGCACAGGGGATTGATGCCCTCTTCTGGCCTCCATGGGTATTGCATACATGGCATTTGCCTGACTAACATGCAGGCAAAACATCCATACCACCCCCCCTTCCCAATACTAATTTTAAAAGCCAATTTACTATAGTCCTGGGGGCAAAGGAAAGAATCTACATTTTTTTTCAACTTTAAAGTATCAATTTTAAAGCCAAGTTTTCCTATAAAAATGGTAATTTCAGTGAAAAGGAAAAAACCTTTTATTCTAAACCTCTTCTATATCTATTTCCTATCTTTTACTAAAGGAATGAAGGAGGTTAGAAGAGTAGCAGAATGTGAAATCAGAGGAAATTCAAAGGCTAAGATCAGCCGGGGGGTTTTAAGATGGCACCGATTGGAGACACAGCTCTGTGGTTAAGCACTAGCTGCTCTTGCAGAGGACAAACATTTGATTCCTGACATCATCTACAAGATGCCCAAACTATGCATACAAGTTTTATGTTAGTGGGTAATGTTTTCTACACAATGCCAATATAACACCTATAACATAAAATATGCTCCTAATCTCTAGGGAGCCAGCATAGACAATGATGTAAAAATAAAGGAACTCTAATGTCCCTTGTAGTTAAGATTACTGCCTATCATCATCACTAACTTACTGTACAGCCAAAATGAAGGATAGACAATTCTTTAGAACCACCATATTTTTCATTTTATTTATTCATTTATTTAGAATTTCCAAGTCAGGGTTTCTCTGTGTAGATTTGGAGCCTGCCATGGAACTTGCTTTGTAGACCAGGTTGACCTTGAACTCAAAGAGATTCCCCAGCCTCTGCTTCCTGAGTGCTGGGATTAAAGGTGTGTGCCACCTCAGCCTGGCAAGTTAGTCTTTCTTAACAGTAGAATTTATTGAATTAGGTGTTCCTATTTTGTTTCTTTTGGTATCAATCTCTCTACTGTAAGGTGTATTCAATTTTAATAATAGATAATGTGGCAAGTGAGTAAATTATCCAAGTATTTTTTGGTTATTTTTTTTTTATAACTACCTTTGTGATCTGTCCTGATTTTGTTTAATATGTTATGTGTGGTGACAAGATATACAGCTGTTTATCAACCAGAAGTTGTGGGCTCTTAGATTTACTGTCTCAGTTTACACTGACCCCTGTTTCTCATACCTCACTAAATAACTCATGTCCTAGGGTTCTATGAAGGATACTCTGAAAACCACATTCTTCCTCCACATGATCTATACAACAGAAATCATTTCTCAAGGTTTGACGTGTTCGCAGGAGCATTAGATAGAATGACTCTTAAAAGGTTAAGGTAATCATAGAGGAGAAAGTGGGAAATACATTTGAACACATAGACATAGGAGACCACTTCCTAAATAGAACACCAGTAGCACAGACTCTGAGAGTAACAATAATAAATGGGACCTCCTGAAACTGAGAAGCTTCTGTAAAGCAAAGGACATGGTCAACAAGGCAAAACATCTCCCTACAGGAAAAGATCTTCACCAACCCTACATCTGACAGAAGACTGATCTCCAAAATATACAAAGAACTCAAGAAACCAGAAATCAAACTACCAAATAATCCAATTAAAAAATGGGGTATAGATCTAAAACAGAGAATTCTCAACAGAACAATCTCAAATGGTGGAAAGACACTTCCTCAGAAAATTAGGGACCAACCTACCTCAAGACCCTGTAATACATCACTGTTGGGCTTATACCTGAAGGAGGCACATTCACACCACAAGGACATTTACTCAACTATGTTCATAGCAACATTACTTGTAATAGCCAGATCTTGGAAACAGCCTAGATGTTCCTCGACTGAAGAATGGATAAGGAAAATGTGGTATATTTACACAATGGAGTACTTACTACTCAGTGGTTAAGAAACAGTGACATCCTAAAATTCACAGGCGAATGGACAAAACTAGAAAAAAACATCCCTAGGAAAGTAAACCAAAACCAGAAAGACAAATATAGTATGTACTCACTCATAAGTGGAAACCAGACATAAAGCAAAATATACCCAGCCTACAATCTATAACCCCAGAGAAGCTTGAACCCTCTTCCAGAAACAGATGGGAGTAGATGCAGAAATCCACAACAATTGCGCCAAGCTTCAGGAGTACAATCAATGTGAGGGAGGAGTAATAACATGAACAAAGGAATCAAGACCTTGATGAAGAAACCCACAGAATCAGCTGACTCAAGCTAGTGAGAGATCACTGACTCAGGTCTGACAAATGGGGAATCTGCATAAAACTGAGCTAGACTTCCTTAATATAGGTGACAATGGTGTGACTGGGACAATATATGAGGCCACTGGTAGTGGGTCCAAGATCTAACACTAATGCACAAACTGACTTATTAGTGGAGCCCCTTCTATATGGAGAAATACCTTACCCAGCCTAGACACGAGGGGGTGGTAGTGGGGTAGAGAGATGTCTTGGTCCTGCGTCAATGAGATGATGGGACAGACTTAGTAGACTTCCTAGGGGAGGCCTTACCCTCTCTGAGGAGCAGACGGATGGAAGGAGTGGGGGAGTGGGAGGAGAGGAGGGAGGGGGAACTGGGATTGGAATGTAAAAAATAAATGAATAATTTAAAAAAGGGTTAAGGTAAAAAAATGCCTTGTCCACCTCAAAGTCTAATTTGAGGAGAACCATTTCTACTTCTGTGCAGTGGTGCACAGGCTCAGGAGTAACACAATCACATTTAAGCTCGGAATACATCTAAATAGAGTACAGGTTCTAGCTCAACTATCTGAAAGCAATGCTCATTAATACTGTTTTCTAGACACAGAGTGTAACTCACCATCAATGCCATTACACCTGAAGCTCAGCTAGCTCTGGCCCACCCTGTGTAAAGAGTTACCATCTTTTACACACACACACACACACACACACACACACACACACACACACACACACCTACTCACCTACTTTTATTTTTAGGCAGGGTCTTATGTAGCCCTGGCTGGCTTTGAACCTACTATGTGGCTGAGGATGGTTTTGAATTTCTGATTGTCCTGTCTCCACTTCCCAAGTGCTAAAACTGTAGGCATGCACCCACATGCTCAGTGTATATGGCACTGGGGGGGTTAGACCCTGGACCTCATACTTGCTCAGTATGTGTGAAGTAAATGCACTTCAGCCACTGAAGGACAGCTCTAACCCTTATAATCTTCAATGGACACTTTTGTTACAAAAGAAACTCAGTATCAGTAAGCATAATTCAAATCTGATACTAGATTGTATCTGAGACTTACACAACTAATGAATTCATGAATTATTAAGTAACTAACTTTTTTATGTTTATTTTTATTTTATGTGTACTGGTGTTTTGTCTGCATATAGGTGTTGGATCCCCTGGAACTGGAGTTGTCTATAGACAGTTGTGAGCTAGGAATTGAACCCTGGTCCTCTGGAAGAGAGGTAGTGCTCATAATCACTGAGCTATCTCTCCAGTCTCAGGTTTTTAATATATTATGTATATAATATATTATATTATTCAGTAATCCTTGGTAGACATTGTGTGTTCACTAATTTGCCCAGATGGGAAATACTTCTAACTTTTTCAATTTAAAATTAAAAAATATAGAATACAGACTAGATGCAATCTGCAAATCAACAAGTTTTAAAAATTAGATTCAGGCAATGAATTCTGAAACTTTAATTTTGTAAACTCACATCCTAGCTTTCCCTGGATCTATAATCAAATTATATAGAAATTCAGGGTTTTCATAAACACTATAAAATATATGGGGTACTAATGGTATGTTAAATTTTACAGTCTTTTTAGTAGTTTTGTATGTATTTTATGTGGTATGTGTAGGGTATGTACCCACAAATATGTTGGAGGAACACACATGTGAAGCCAGAGGCTGATTACAGCTGTTTACCTTCAATCACTCTCTACTTAATTTAGCTAAACTAATTTAGCTGGCAACAAACTTCAGGGACCCCCTGTCTCTGCCTGCCCCCTAGCACTGAGGCCACAGCTATATCCACCAGGCCTAGCTTTTTCACAGATTCTGGGGATCCAGACTTAGGTCCATCATGTTGCAGAACAATCATTTTACCAACTGAGCTATCTCCCCACTGTGGGTTTTACTAAACAGGGCACAAAACTTACAGGGCGAATATCTGGTTACTCTTAGTTCTGACCAATGCACAACACCCAGGCTGCAGTTACATAATAATCAAATACAAATGCTGAGGGAATGACAGTCATTTAGAACTTGAGGAAATAAATTATTTAACTCCTGTGTAGCAATACTTGAGACCTGAAAATGTTCACATATGAACACAAACACACTGACCATCTGTGGTATAACATTCCTTTCAAAAGGGTCATTTACTTACGGCAACAAATAACCCTAACACTGAACATTCTGTCACCCCCCCCCAAATAAAAACTGCTCATGGATGGGGAAATCCAAATATGCTTGTAATGCAATCCTGTTCCTACCATCTTACTAGTAGCTGTCTTCTCAAAGTGCAGGTGAAAATTTAACAGAGACAACATAAGGATTTCTGAATTTGAATACTTAAAGTAGTATATACCCAAAATGTGTGTTCTGTAAGTTATTTGGCATGTTAAGACTGTTCTTTAGACTACAAGAAAATTCTTAACTTTCTCCCCAGAGAAAAACAAATTAAGAAAGCCAAACGATATGTTCTCACCCACAGTCTGGAGCTGGACACCACCGACAGTCAGGATCTGCAACAAGCCACCGTCGAAGCATAAATTCTTCATATTTTTCCATTAAGATATCATCACTTAATATCAAGCGAATGTCATGGGGATTAAACCGTTCGGTACATTCCGGACAACTGATGTTAACTCTACTTTCAGAGATTTCTATCCTTAAGTACTGTCGTAAGCAATCCACACAAGATCTATGATGACATGTCATTATATCAGGAAATCTGTCTTTTGAGTGCCGTAAAAGGCACAGAGGACATTCTATAAAGTCTCCAATTTGTTTGCTGATAGAAGTCAATCCATTGTCAGAAGAGGTATTTGTAGAGAAAATGGAGTTCTTATCAGTACACATCTCAGAATGTATACTTTCAATACTTGCAATTCCATCCACTCCGCCATTGAGGTCCCTTGATTTGCGCTTGGTGTCCTTTTTCCTCCGAAAGAGAGCGCCTATGGAAATCCTCCTCTTCTTAGGTGCCTTCTTGACAGAGGGCAAGCTCACAGATGAGGCAGAGGACTGGAGATCTCGATCTGAACCCATCTGCCCATGTAAACTCATGTCTAAAATGCTCATTAGAGTTGAGGTGGGTCAGTGCTCATACACAGCCCTTCATTATACTTAAAAATAAAATTTATTGTTTGTTCTTGTGTTCAGGTTAAGTCATGATGTAAAATAATCCTGTTGGTTCCTTCAGAAAATCTTGAAAAAGTTCAATTAGAGAAGAGTGTTGTCACAGATGTCCTAAAAAACAAAAAACAGTTTAACTGTATTTTTATGTGTATATGTTTTCATAATCTTACAGGTTCTCTATTAAAGTTTTAAACAAGTAGGCTCTACAACCATTAGCTTAAAAATTAAAATCATTAGTCTACATGAAAATATACAATGAAAGATGAAATAGCAACGAAGACATTCCTTACTCCTAATAAAAGATGTTTTACACTTGAACCAAAACAACTGTTACAAAAGTCTTAGATAAATCTCAGTACTATCACTGACTTAAATAATTCCTCACCGACTTTAATTTGTTTTTAATTAGAAATAAAATGCACATGCAAACACAAAAAGCTAAGAATAGCTTATATGATAATCATGAAGAAAAGCATTCTACGGAGAGGGTCTCTTACATTCCAGAAACAATCATTTACTATAATTTCATAATTATGGCAATGTGGTATGTTATCAGGATGGTGACAGACCAATGAACAGAACATGGTCTTCTAAAAATATCACATATTAGCTGGGTGATGGTGCACAACTTTAATCCTTTAATCCCAGTACTTGGGAGGCAGAGGCAGAGCTCTCTATGACTTGGCGGCCAGCCTGATCTACAGAGCAAATTCCAGGACAGCCAGGGCAACACAGAAAAACCCTGACTCAAAAAACAAAAACAAACAAACTCTCACCTATTACATTTGATTTTCAACTTTGTTGAACACTAAAAATGCCCTTTTAAAAATTATTTGAGAAATGGCTCAGCGATTAAGAGTACTGGCTGCTCTTCCGAGGACCTGAGTTCAGTCCCCAGCAACCACTTGGTGGCTCACAACCATCTGTAATGATATCTGGTGCCCTCTTCTGGCCTGCAGGCAGACATGTAGACAGAATACTTGAGAGGAGATCAGGAATTTGACTCATGCCACAAAAGCCCGATGACCTGGGTTTACTGGAATATATATGGTAGGAGAAGGGAACTGACTCCTGAAAGTTGTCCTCTGAATTTCACGCATACATCATGTCATGTGAACACAGAAACACACAAACAACAATAAAATGATTTAAAAACTCAGTTACAGCAAATTCACAAATTTAACTGTGAAGAAGCTTTTAGGAGACAAAAGGAATATTTCAACAAAAAGATTTCTTATTCAGAACATTACAAGTGCTAATTATAAAATAAAAGATGGCAAGGACAAAGTCCAAGACACACAAGCCACAAACAGCTAATAAAAGAACAGTGTTCAGAACAGCTAAGAGCATCTACAAGTACATAAAAACAGACAACCCAAAAGAAAAACTGGACAGAGGGCATAAAAAGCACTTCACAAAAGATGATCATTCATCATCATTACAACAATACAGACAAGCCACCTAGTAGATGGCTAAAACTCACACTGGTATTTCTAGATGTTGACAGGGATATGGAGGGGTAAGCACTCTCATATTAGTGGTGAGAAAATAAGATGGCAAAACTACTTTGGAAACTATTTAACAACGTCTACCAAACTGGAGCATATGAATACCCAGCATTTTTACTCCCATACAAGACCACACACAATAAAGTAGGAAACATGTTTAACAAAGAATAAGCTTTCATACTAAAAAGTAGACTTTATACAATAGCAGTGAGAAAACATGTAAGTCTGAGAGCCACACAAAGACTCAAGCAGGTGGTTTTGGGTATTACACAAATTTGTCAGACTGGAAACAACTAAAAAAATAAAAACACAAACATTAGATACCAACGTGGTAAATACCAACAAAAGCTGTAAAGGGTTGGTATTAGTTCAGTGAAAGAATCACCCCAAGTACTATGGGGGGGTAATTTAGCATTATTTATTAAACTTTAAAACACAAACTCTTAAGCCCAGATATCCTACTTACAAAGTTTAAGTGAACTAATAATACAAATTGCAAATAAATCTACCTATTGCTATATAGTTGGTAAAAGATAAAAAATGCAAAAACAACAAAATCTCCATGTAAAACCAAAAAATAACATTTAAGCCTTAACACTTGGGAGTGGAGGCAGGCAGGAGTTCCAGGACAGCCAGGACCACACAGAGAAACCGTCTTGAAAAATCAATCAATAAGTAAGTAACATTTGAGTATTCAACTGGGCACTTAAATGAACAAACTATAATCCAAATATAAGCTATGAAAAGACTCATACAGAATGTTGGGAAATGACAACTGTATGGTACTCTACCTGGTTGGTATGAGACAGTTGTAGAACAGGACACAAATTGATTTGGCTACACCCTCCACTTAACAACCACTAACACTACAGACACTTCCTTAAACACACTCACTTAAAAGCAGATTCCTATAGGTTGACTTCTGCCACCTCTCCCCAACTGAAACCATGTTCTGTTTCTCATTATGCTATGGAGACAGTAAGACATTTTTATGTTCTCCAAAATTATTATTTATTTAGTTTTATGGGGTTTATTTGTTTGTCTTTTGAGACAGGGTTTCTCTGTGTAGCTCTACCTGTCCTGGCCTCAAACTCAGGAGTACTGGGATCAAAGGTGTGTACCACCTTTTGTTTTTGAGAAAAGGTATCACTATGTAGTCCTGGCTGTCCTGTAACTCACCATGTAGACCAGGCTGGCCTTGAACACACATATATTCACCCACTCTTGCCTCCCAAGTGCTGTGATTAAAAGTGTATGCTGCCATACACTGCTTTTTAAAAAAAGTAGGTGTATGTTAGTGTAACTGTGTAGGGGTGCATGCATGTATGTGCAGGTGACCATGGAGGCCAGAAAAGGGCACAGATTTCCTGGAGTCAAAATACAGGTAGCCACCTACTTCCTAACATGGATGCTGAGAACATAAATTTTCTAGAAGAGCAATAGTACTCTTAATTGTCAAGCTACACCTCCAGACCTAAGACTTATTTTTTAAAATACACACAATAACTACTCTTTGGAAAAATGATCCAAGGGAATTATTTATAAACACTTGACTAAAAAGAAGGGAATGCTTCAGTAACAAGAACTGTAGTGGAATCTCACAGCTGGACTCTTGCCCTCCATGTACAGAACACTGAGAGTATTACTATTAACAAGATGCACATACTGCCTACGTGAACCTTAGTGATCTTCTTTGTTTTAAAATACCTCAATTTTCACAAAGCATAGAGGCATCACTGAGAAATCATAGTAAATGGTAGCCTAATACAGAATCTACTTAAAAAAAAGAAAAACATCTTGCAAGCCATATGAACAAGATTAAGAAGAGACCTACGTAACAGCAAATCCAGAAGATATAGTCATATGTTTCATCTTATCACCCCAGAAGCAGGCACACAAGCAGCTCGCTTTTCTCCCCTGAATGATTTGCAATTCACAAATTTTTGCTATAAACATTTTTTGTTATCCTCATTTTACAAATGGAGAAACAAAAATTTAGAAACTATTAGACTTGTTTTCATTATCAGACCTCCTAGCATGCATGTGTGTGTATAGATATATGCGTACACATAGAAAACATAATGCATACTTATTAAATGCCAGTTACTTCAAACATGACCTATAAAGACTAATATAAGGTCCAGTGGGTTTATACAGAATATACTATATAAGAGCCTACGGGTTGCCAGGCACAGTGGCACAGCCAAGCCTTTAATCCTAGCACTCAAGAAACCGAGGCAGGTGGGTCTCTGTCTGATCTACATAGTGAGCTTTAGGAAAGCCAGAGCTACATAGTGAGACCCTGTCTCAAAACAAAACAAAACCAAAATTAAATAAATGTAATTTAATGAATTTTGGGGTGGGGAGGACCTCACTGTGTAACCCTGGCTGGCCTGGAGCTTACTATGTAGACCAGGCTGGCCTCAAACTCACAGAACTGCTTGTTTCTGCCTCTCAAGCACTGAAAAATTTAAAGTAAATAAAACTGTCTTTTGCTACTTCTAAATTATTTTTCTTTAAATTTTTGATTCATTCAAAATTTTTAATGTAAGCAAAAGATAAACTTTTACTTCTAAATAGCTACCCAGTCATTTCACACTAACCATTAGTACTGGGCTCCTCTCCATCCATCCAGCCCACTGAACTGATAAAGCGCACCCTGCAGCATGAGTCCCCGGCGACTTTGTTTCATCACCAAACAACTTAAAAACGCATTTCCATGTATCCCTACTTTAGCTGTTCACTTTTTGCTTGTTTTTTTTTTTTTTTTTACATTGAAAACTTTGCTCCCTTTTATACTTGAAAACATTCAATATTTACGTTGTCCAAATGTGAGATTTTTAATTTGATATTTTAAAATATAGAAGATTTGTCACATTTATGAAACTCCTTTATAAATTAGTGTAGCACTTCTTATGCTTACAAAACCCATTCAGAGGGACCAATGCGATGGCTCAACAGATAAAAGTAGTTGCCACCAAGTCTGAAAACTTGAGTTCAATACTCCAAGCTATTCATGCCCAGACAGACATGGCCCACCCCCTTCAAAAAGATGGAGCCTGTTTGTGGTGGTTTGAAAGAAAAGGGCCGCCCCCACAGACTCACAGGGAGTGGCACTATTAGGAGGTGTGGCCTTGCTGAAGTAGGTGTGGTTTTGTTGGAGCAAGTGTGTCACTGGGGGGTGGACTTTGAGGTCTTATGGCTAAATCTCTCCCTGTTGTCTTTAAATCAAGGTGTAAAACTCTCAGCTCCTCTCCAGCACCACGGCTGCCCCCATGATGCCTTGCTTCCTGACACGATAATGAATTAAATGTCTCAACTGTAAGCCACCCCAAGTAAAAGCTTTCCTTTATAAGACCATGCTGCTGCCATGGTCTCTTTGAAGGAATAACTAAGACACTTATTTTCCGTTTCTGGGGCTCTTCATTTCTTCCTGTGCAACACTTCCATCCCCCCAAATGTGTTATTTTCTTCCCACAGCCACTGCCCCCCATCCCCATCTTTAGTACTTCTGGTGTAGATCTCACAGCAGTAAGCCATTTTCACTAATTCCCCTATAGGCAATGTGATTTTTCTTTTGGTTTTATTAATTTATATCTTTGG